AATGGCAGCAAAAGCACCTCGCCAGGTTGCTTGGATCTGTTGGACCTGCGCCAATTGCTCTTGCACCTGGCTACTGTCACTGCCTTGGGTCGGATCGCCCCAAGCCACCACGGAGCCGTCGTCCAGGATGGCAGCAAAAGCTCTCCCAGTTGCTTGGATCTGCTCAACCCGCACCAACTGCTTTTGCACCTCGCTGCTGTCCCCCCCACGGTCGGGATCGCCCCAAGTTACCACAGAGCCGTCGCTCAGAATGGCAGCAAAAGCACTCTCAGTCGATTGAATCTGTTGGACACGCACCAACTGCTTTTGCACCCGCCTGGTATCACCACCGAATAATCGATCGCCCCAAGTCACCACAGTGCCGTCGGACAGGATGGCAGCAAACGCTCTCCCAGTTGCTTGGATCTGCTCAACCCGCACCAACTGCTTTTGCACCTCGCTGCTGTCCCCCCCACAGTCGGAATCGCCCCAAGTTACCACAGAGCCGCCGCTCAGAATCGCAGCAAAAGCACTCTGAGTCGCTTGAATCTGTTGGACGCGCACCAACTGCTTTTGCACCCCCCAGGTATCACCACCGAACAATCGAGCGCCCCAAGTCACCACAGTGCCATCGGACAGGATGGCAGCAAAAGCCCGTTCCGTTGCTTGGATCTGCTCAACCCGCACCAACTGCTTCTGTACCCAGCTGGTATCACCACCGAAAAATGCATTGCCCCAAGCCACAACAAAGCCATCGGCCAGGATGGCAGCAAAAGCATGAGCAGTTGACTGGATTTGCTGCACCCCCACCAACAGCTCTCGCACCTGGCTGCTGTCACCGCCGCAGTCAGGCTCGCCCCAAGTCACCACAGAGCCGTCCTCCAGGATGGCAGCGAACGCGTGGGAGGTTGCCTGGATGTGCTCCACCCGCACCAACTGCTCCCGAACCTGGCAGCTGTCACCACCTCCTTCGGGAAGGCCCCATGAAAGCGCTGCGCCACCTGGAACATAGAGTGCAAAAGCTCCTTCCGTGGAAGCTACCTTTACAGGCTGCACGACGGCATCAAGGTTGTCCCCATCTCGCACGCCTGCCTCACGCAAAGTGGCGGCCGGATCCAGCAGCTGACCTCCGCACACAAGCCTCAGAAAGCGGCGCTGCACGCGTTTTTGCGCTGCGAATTTGAGTTCCCGCACGCTCGACTCGGGCGGCAGCGCAATCGAGCAGCTCTCCCCGCTTAGCAAGTGCACATGCACGGAAAGCATGGCGAAGGCGCGCAAAGGAGCCCGGGAAGCCGGTCAATGAGTCAAGCTGGGGGATTTGGCTTTTGGGTCTCCGACAAACCTCGCCAATCTGCAAAAACCAGGAGAAAGCCGTCCCTTGCACTTCAGGACGGTCCTCTCAACCGCTTACTGCTTCAAAGCCTCGTGGTCTTCCAGGATTCGGTGTCGTCCCCTAAACAGCTGGGGGAACCAAACACCATGCTCAAACAGTGCCAGGCGTGCCCAAAATCCCGGGATGTTTTGCAGGGGCACTCTCGTGGGTGCCTCATGAGGGATACGGTCGAGTCCCTGCATATGGAATCACAGAACAAGGAAAGCCCTGCAATGTCCAATGGTTCGTGGTCGTACTTGCAACATTTGGGGAACGCTTGCGGATTGCTTTGCTTTGCTGGTTGTCAAACTCCACACATGCCCCTTCACAGCTTGAAACAATCACCGTTCTTCGCCAGGCATAAGCCAGCGCAATAAGCTGTCGATCTCTTCGGGCACGAAAGAGCGAAACTCTGAATCGCACCAAACAGCATCTGTCGAGAAAAAAGAGAGGCAACAACAAAAAAGACAAACACGGAACACTCAGGCAACTATGGTGTTTCCAGCAAAATTGCAAAACATCACTCCCATTTGCCGCCGGAAAGCTATGAGCTTAACGTCGGGCACCTTCTCCAGAATGTAGAGCAGTACGTCCTATGAGCTTCATGTGGAAAACGAGTTTTTTTGCCGCAGGCGTGTCCATTTAAAACGACCCATTTACATCTGCGGGTGTAATTGTTGTTCCGGGAAGAACTGGCCTTGAAGGGGGAAGTTGCCCTTTATGAGCCTTGAATGTGGGCCATCGGGTGGCGATCAGCTCGCCGATCCGTCCCGCCTCCTTCCAAATGACGGCCTGGTAGAGCCCAATGAGACCTTTCACAACAGCCAATTGAAGCGCCATCCCCCGAAGTGTTTTGGAATGCAAAGCACGGGATTGTATAGCGTTGCTCACTTACTGTACAGCCATGATGTCTGTAAGCCCCGAGAATCGATGAACCATCCGCAGTGGGGACAGTGGGTGGCCCATTAATTAAGTTTCCCACTGCACGAATAGATTACAAAGGGAATGTGGCAATGCTGGTGCATGGGTCAATGATGCACAACAGCGGGATCAGCTTGTGGAAAGGCCTGGAATTTCAGCTACCCGCCATCCGCCCACCCAACTGATACCGCTTGGGATGCGCACAAGAAGTGTGACGATTCTCCTCTCTAAATGAACCTTGTTCGGCGTGCCGGGCATGCACAGTGTCGCACGAAAGGTTGCGTCAAGAATAGCCTTATCTACCACAGGCGACACCTCGGGGCACAGGATATGGGGTTGATCAATACTCCTGGCCCCCACCATGGGGTAAGTCTTCCCCTTTACTGGAGAAAGCCATCTTGTTTGGTGGTTTGCTTGGTTATCCCATGAGGCCTCTTGATCAACCCCCATACGCCCAACTTCTGAGCCTCACCCCCGGCCAACAAGCAGAGTCTTGCCTCCCAAGCTTTCCTCACGCCGCTGGGCAAAGCGCTGCACTTGCCACCTGAGATCACTGGGGCCCCGTGTTTTCCTCGGGCGGGGCTCTTGCTCGGTCAAACATATGCGCGAGCGATCAACGCTCCTCCCACGGGAACGCCAACTGTTTGCTTCCTCATTCTTGCTAAGGCAACAAACGAGCTGCCAAATATGGTGGGTTCCCCAAATCCCACGATGTGCATAATAACCGTCTGCCTTGCCTCAAGCGCGTCTTACTAAGATCAGCGCGTGAAGGGCAGGGTGTTGCGGCCCATTTCATGCAGAAAGAAGTCTTCATCCACGCCGTGGATGGAAAATGTCCTCGGGGCCCAGTCCATAGTTATCTATGGAGAAAGGCGTGAATCATGCTTTACCTGTGGTTGCGGTAGTATGTGCATATGCGCACGTGTCTACATAACATACAACGTAATTTGTATACCTAGTACATGTATATATGCCTGCATATAATGTATGCGTATCTACTTCCATGAAGACATGTCTCAAGCCATATCTATCATGTTTGGTGGAAACAAGCTTGCAGGGAGCGGCTCGACGGAGCAGGAGTTACCTGCGAGCCACTGGAAACCTTGTGGGACACCTTCCAAGTTGAAAGCATAAAACTTGCAGGGGCTCATTCTATTTCCCCACAAAACGGGCCACAGAAGAGTCACTCAAATCTGCCAATCTGTGTTTGGTACGGCTCATTGAAGAGCAAATCCAGCGCCAAAGGTATTATGCTGCGAAGGAATCAGGAACAAGCCATGCCGCTGGTTTGATATGGAAACCCGAAACAGCTTGAGTAAGCTCTCGCTGCCCAGTGCAAAAAGCTGAGCATCGATCGTGAAGTTGATCAGCCGGTGTCTGGCCAAACCTCTCCTGCACGCTGCGAATGCGTCAATAATAACTCCTTCCGAACGTGGGCTCCCGAAGCAAGCGAACCAATCAAGAAACACTGGTAAGTGGTCGGTGAAGCAGAGGTTTTCCTATCCCTCGCTTGCAACACAGTGGGCATCCAACATAGTTTCATCTGGGGCAAGTTGATGGGATTCCATGTGGGCTTTTCTGGCCGACTCACACACACACAAACAAAACCCGATGAGAAGCCAGCAATTACGGCTCTTTCAAAGGGAAGGGTTTCCCAAGTTTGGCCACAGTCATTTGGATGAGGCCCCCCAAAGGCCTCATCCAACCCATTCTGCTCACAAGGGGATCTGACGGACGAGTTGCAGTCTTGACACTCGAGTCCGTGCCAGACTGCAAGCTAGAAACTGCCATGGACCCACCGGAAGTCACCGCAGGAAGTTTGATCCCAAGCCATGAACTCAAGGTCAAAGTGTAGCTGTGGGCCCCTTCCTTGGAGACCTCTAGACCAGAAGCAAGGACCCAGATTATACCCTCCGTGACTTCCAGGTGTAGATCATGGCACCTCCGTGCGGCAGGCATTCTAAAAATTCTTAGTTGTCTGGGTTCATGTCCATCTTGGCTCCCAATAGTGTATGGCTAGCGTATTTGAAGCTTGGTTTTAGAATCCTAGCAATCAGTTTGCATCAAACTACAAGCATCCAACATCCTATCAAATGTGTCGGCCATTATTCTGAGAAATTGCGCAACACTACTTGAGAATGAAATGCACGTGCTCGGGGCAATGCTCTCCGACCACAGAGATGTACCGCCCTGACGAAAGCAAATCCACAACAATCAAGTTGACTGGCATTTGCCATAAGTGAAGACACCGGTCTCCATGAATTCAGACACCTGCACTGGAAACAGCGCAAATACAAGGAACGTTGCGGGAATGTGTTGATTCCATGAGAAAGCTTTTGCATGGGAGAGATCCACTGGAGAATGGCCAAATCTGAAAAACAAACAAAAACAAGAGAGACCAAACAAAAACAGGAAAACCAAACAAAACAATCCCCCAGACAGAAGGTGTTGTGCATGACCGAAACATTTCCCTCAGGACTTTGTCTTTGCTTTGTGTTTTTGATGTTTGTTTTCTTGGAGGTTGTTTGGTTCTTGCAAACAGGAGGCCATTCAAGCATTTCTGTGGCTTTGCAAATGAGATGAGATGCCCTTCAAGATTGCTCAAACACATGCACACGAGGAATACCTTGTCTTCATGCTCATCAAAATCTCACTTGAGGGAAACCCCAAACACCCCAGCCTCCAAAAGCGCTGAGACCCGGTTTTACGTCGCAAGAAGCAAAACCTGCCAAGAACAAAGGGTGTCCTGTGCGGTGAGTTCGTTGGTCAATTTTAACGGGCAATCCAAAGACTCTTGGCTGAAAGCTTGGGCCCAGTCTCTCCCTCGGTCCTAAGGGCCGTGGTGCCGCAACCATCCACCCCGATAAGCAGGAAGTCCAGAGCCAGGTCTGCCCAGTGGCCCAGCTCCTACTCTGCGTGGAATGTCCACATGTGAGTCTTTGTGTGCGTGCCCATGTTTGTGTCTATGCGTGTATGCGTCTTTGTGTGTGTGTGTGTATGTGCATGTGCATGTGCAGGTGCATGTGCATGTGGGCGTGGGTGTGTGTGTGTGTGTGTCTCTGTGTGTCTCCGTGTGTGTCTCCATGTGTGCCTCTGTGTGTGTGTGTGTCTCCGTGTGTCTGTGTGCGTGTGCGTGTGCGTGTGCGTGTGCGTGTGCGTGCGCGTGCGCGTGTGCGTGTGTGCGCGTGCGCGTGCGCGTGCGCGTGCGCGTGCGCGTGCGCGTGCGCGTGCGTGGGCGTGGGCGTGGGCGTGGGCGTGGGCGTGTGCGTGTGCGTGTGCGTGTGCGTGTGCGTGTGCGTGTGCGTGTGGGTGTGTGTTTGTGTGTGTGTGTGTCTCTCGCTATGTGTGTGTGTGTGTCTCTCTGTGTCTCTGTGTGTGTGTGTCTGTGGCTCTGTGTCTCTCTCTCTCTCTCTCTCTGTCTCTCTGTGCGTCTCTGTGTGTGTGTGTGTCTGTTGTGTGTGTGTGCGCGTGTGTTGTGTTTGTGTTGTGCGTGTTGTGTGAGTGTGTGTATATGTGTGTCTCTGTGTCTCTGTGTCTCTGTGTCTCTGTGTGTTGTGGCTTTCTGTGTGTGTGTGTATGTCTGTGTTTGCGCATGTGCGTGCGTGGCATCCTATTAACCAACATGAACCTGCAGCTCCTTGTTGCACGCTTCGCCAGCCAACATCTTGGCCAGGAGAACGCCCAAGTCGGGGCTTTCGCGCCTTTCTGTTGGCACCTAAAACCCCAACCGGTAACATCTTGAACATCTTGGCCAGTAGAACCCGCAAGTCGGGGCTTTCGGGGCTTTCGCGCCTTGCTGTTGGCACTTCAAACATCAACCACGCCTTTCGCGCCCTGGTCATGACACACAGTCCGCGTCCGCGCCTGCACTGCCGCTGAGGCCAGCTGCGCCCCTGGCGCGTTGAGACGAGTCATCCGCAATCAAAGGCGCGGCCAACTGTTTGACTGCGCCAAGATATGGCCATGGGGCAGAACCTATGGCTCTATTTTGGGCCACCTATTTTGATGTTCACCAGGGGTACAGGGTTTTGACCCACAGCCATATAAAGTTGGCTGATTACCTCGCGAGGTGCGGTTCTGGGCTGCTGAACAGCGCCTCCCGAGCCAGTCAGACGCCCCTCTCCCTTCAGCGGCCTTTCATGATCTTCGAGAACCAGAAGGGAACCACCTCGGTCCTCGGCCAATTCTCTCACTGACGTCTCTGCCAGGGTTTCATATTTCGCGGATAGGCACCCCATGAGGAAACTTGTTCTTAACAACCAAATAAATTATCATTCCGGCTGAAGCTTGGAGGGTTTACGTCAGAGCTCAAGCGGGCTGTTCCACGACACAGGAATCTTTCAGGCTGCTCAGGTTGAGACAACTCTCCGGTACGGTACAGAAGGCCCAAAGGGGGGTTGCACACAGATTGCAATGCGATGACACAACCGTACAAACGTGTTACGAAATCTTGCGAAACGAACACATGCATAAATGAACAAGAATGCGCGCACGTGGAAACATCATGCGTGCATCTTGAGCGAGCAATAAAGAACAAAAGGGCAACAATGAACAGGACGGCGGGGTAGAATAAACCGAACCGGGAAAAGCATGGCGACAAAAAGGAGATAAGTGGGAGAGAAGAAAGCGGCAACGGGAGACGAGCAAAGCGGCATATACGAACCGCGGGTATGAAACCCTCACTTCTTGGTTCGTTGTGGAAAGCCAGCCCTTTGCATTCGAACCGGCTACCCACTTCCTGAGATTTGGCCGGTCTTCCTTGAGGGTACCCTTGTTTGTGGCTTCAAAGGGAAACCAAGAGGCAACCCATTTTTGGGGGATCCAACCTTAAAAAAGACACACGGAGCAAGATCAAAAAGCTCCAAGAGGCGCTCTAGGGCCCTTTGTCGCAAGGTTTCGGCACAACCGTCGGAAAGGGAGCCTTCAGCTTCAGGGATTCCAGGCCCAGGGGTGCCCAGTCCATTTGCGTCAAAAACCTCGAAGACGAGCCTGTGTTGGACCCTGCACCCATCACAGTCACCGCAAGCAACTGTTAGACAGGAGAAGAAAGCTTACGCACTTCCATGTTTGCTCCAGAATAGCTCCCCTGCATTTGCCTGTCAATCACCCAACCAAGAGGAGAGTCGGCGAAATCAATCCCAAAAGTATCCAACAAGTGATGTTTGAACTGGTTCAAAACGGGAAATCGTCCAAAAATGGTTTCAACAGGCACCAGAAGGCGAAATATACAAACCCCCTGTCAGGACCCCATCCGCAATCCTTCCCCATCTCCAAGCGTCTCCACCTCTCGCTGTGCACAGCTCTCTGGCGCGCAGAGCGTGGCGCTGCCGGAGATGTGCGAATCTCCGCCCTAGCGTTTTGGCGGGCTTTTGGCCCGGTGGCCCGGTTTACGCTAGGGCAAAAGTGGATGGCACAATCTCCTGGCGACCAAAGGGAATGACTAAAACCAAAACGGAGGGAGCTGTGCCATCTACTCTCCCCCTAGAAAACGACTTCAATTCGTTTTGACCACTTTTTGGACACTTCTTTTCAAAGAGCTTGGGCGGCGAAAAACCGCTGAGCCACTTGCCTAAGCAGGTCTTCCGGGGATTTCCGGGATGAGGGGGGGTTGAGCGCCTGCTTCAGTGAGGCGGCCCAGAAGCGGCCGCCCATCGCCCAGCAGGAGAGCACCATGTTCTGCACAAACCGAGCGGCTGAGATCGCCGCAATCTCCATAGGGGGGGGGGGGGGCCTATGCTTCCTTCCTCATGGTTGCATCACTCCAAAAAAAAGCTCAGGCTAAATTTTGGCCCCAATCCTCTTCACAACCAGGAGGATTTCTGTAGGGATTTGCTATGCTTCCTTCCCCATGGTTTCCTCACAACAAAAGGCAGCTCAGGTTAATTTTTGGCCCCAATCCTCTTCACAACCAGGAGGATTTCCGTAGGGATTCCCTATGCTTTCTTCCCCATGGTTTGCCCTGAAGGGCTGGTCTCGAATAAGCAGGAAGGGTGTGTGCTTCTTTGAGGTTGTTGCCATTCAGATTCATGGCCACCTTTTGAGGGAAAGCCAAATGAGCAGTTGTTCTTCTAGCTGCTTCAAAAGATGGAAGCCCAACTCATGATGAACCTGGACCCCCTTTGTGGTGAATTGAAATGAGGCAGAATGTTCAGGCAATGGTCCAACAATGTTTTAATGCATGGTCGGCCCAAGGCGGCTGTCTTTCTCGCCGTGTCTGTTCTACCTTCTACATGCTTTGATAAACTGCAGCAATTGTTTGACATCTCGGAAGGCAAGCCACGCAGCTCCCACTGAGCTCTGACCAGTCCACTGTAGGCTAAAACTAGGAATCCATTTTGGTGTTTCACAGGGAGGCCATTACCCAGGGAGGCAAAGTGACAAGCCTACCCTGCCAGCCCAGAAATCAGAAATCCAACATGGCGAGCCCAGTCGGGACAGGTATCTCGCTTCCCGGTTGGGCCTCGTGCTTTGCCAGAAGACCGTGCTGCAGGAGAAATTCGATGCACACTTGGGTATGTGTCAAATTTTGGGGACCGGACAGATTCTCCTGATTCAACAGTATAACACTGTGTTGTCTCGTCTACAGCAGCTCGTGTCTGATTGTTCAAGGCTTGTTGCGTGGCTGCAACCAACAGGCCACCTGACCTGACCCATGGACAATACTCTTTGTTCCCCAAACAGACATGAGGCAAATAGGGTTGTCCTCTCGGTTGTAGCCAATTTGGGCTTCCCCATTCCCCTCTCTGAACCGCAAACTACCCTCTGTCTAACCATCATGGAAGTGGACGATCGTGAAAGACTGCCATCCTACGTCCAGTTCCACGCTTGTTGCCCAGCCATCCTCTTGAAAAGGCCCCCAAAGAGCCAGTTCCACGCTTGTTGCCCACGGATCCACGGGAGAGTTGGGCTGTCCGATTGGTTTCTGCGATCGACTCGCCCGCCGTGGCAATGTCCACCAGCAGCTCAGCCGCCTCTGGCGACCCAAAGCCGCCCATGTCCTGCCGAGCGAATGAGTCTGTCTCGGGAACCCTGCGGGTCTGCAATTCGGAACTCCCACAATGTCTGCCCTTTGGTTGTCCTTTTGCAGTCCTTTGATTGTACTCTGATTTTCCAAACGGCTCCAAACAAGGGTGCCCTCAAGATCCATGTTGAGAAGAAGGACAGCACTGTCTTCTCATCAACTTGCTCATCCTCGCCCAGGTTATGTTCGCGACTCAAACTAGAAAGAGGAAGTCCCCTTCGAGTGATGACATCACAACTCACCCCGCATCCTAAACCATGGAATTAATCAGTATCAGTCCACGTGCGGGGAAGGTTTCTTCGCTGGTTGAGGCTGAGCTCTAGTAGCATCCCCATCTACTGAGCATCGTCAGTCGCTGCCGAACCGCCAAGGTGGAATCAATGAACTGGCGGAGCACCTCGCGACATAAACCCCGCCTTCAGCACCTTGAGATCGTTCTGCATGCTACCTGTCAAAGAACCAAGACGCATTTGCGTGCGGCTTGCTCTTTTGTTTGAGGGGCGCCTTTTTGCAATTCCGTTAAAGGGGACCAAAATAGACCAAGTGGCAAATGCCTTTTTTCTTTGGGGGGGTTCTTTTGTGAAGAGACAAACCCAGTTGGCATTTTCACCCTGGTGTCCATGCCTCTTAGTCTCCAAACCAATTCAAACCACCAATTGGGTTGTCTTTTTGTGAGTACATACGCTTTCCAGCTGGGTTTTGAGGCAACCAAAGGCAAACCACCACTTTTGGGGTATGCTTATCACGAGACAGGCGTGTGCGCAGTGCAAGCGGCCGCGCGTGACCACAACCACAACCACAACCACAACCACCACAACCACCACCACCACCACCACCACGACGACGACAACCACCACGACGAGGACGATGACGACGACGACCGCGACAACGACAACGACACCGACAGCCGCAACCCCAACCCCAACCCCAACCGCAACCGTCATCATGATGATCATCATGATGATGATCATCATCATCATCATCATCATCATCATCATCATCATCATCATCATCATCATCATCATCATCATCATGACCATCATCATCAACAACTACAACCACAACCACAACATCAACACCACCGCACCTTCCTCTGTCTCCTTCTACTCTCCTACCCAGCAGCAGCAGCACAACCACAGCAGCAAATGCAATAACATTGATGACCATGAGCAAGACCACAACAACCACACCGACCATGATGTCCACAACGACCACGCAGACCACGACGACCATGACGACCACGACGACCACGACGCGCACGACGCCCGCGACGCCCAGGACAACCAAGACGACCACGACAACGACTGTGAAAGCAAAAGTGACAGCAACAACGACAAAGACAACGACCCACCCACCCACGCACCCACCCAACCGAACGCCAAGCAAGCATGCAAGCAAGCAGACAAACGAACAAACAAGTAAGCCCGAAGCCTGCCTTGGTTTTGCGCCTGGTGTCCCCATGCTTCTGTAGGGTCCTGGCAAAACAATCCAACTCAATCCCCAGCAGGGCCATGCAGTCACAGCCAGAAAGGCTGCAAAATGTGCCCGTGGCAAATATTTGATTTGGCTTGAGTTAAAAGACAACCTTCTCGTCCTTTCCTTCTTCAAACCCACAATTGTCAAGAGTTTCGACCTCTGGTTCGAAGCTTTTTTTTGCCAGACATCGAGGGAGACCACTGCTAAAAGGCGTTGAAACTCCCTATTTTGCAAACCTAGGGCTCTCCAAACCCGTACCAGAAGCGGAGGGGCTCCGAGAAGTCGCGTTTGGAGGGCCATGTCATTCATCTTCTTGGGCCGACAGGCTGCAACCCAACTGATTCTCCTCTCCGCGCGCGTGGGAGTGGAGCCAGGCACCGGAGTTGGCCGAGTAATCGGCGAAGCCGTCCTGGCCAACGATGTGCACTTTGGGTCAGTCAGACAAGTAGAACAGAAAGTGGCATGGGAAAAACCATAGTTCCCCACATATCCTTGGACTTGAGTGGTGTGTGTAGCTTGCTTGGGCTGCAGGCCGCCAAGAGTCGTGTTTTTTTTGCTTTTGCTTCAGTTGCTTCATCCTTTGAGTCAACATGTGTTGCATTTGGTGGGTGTCCCTTGACCAGGGTTGACACTTCCTCAACTTCCTTCTTTGAATCTTTGAATCCTGCTTCTTTCTTTGGGATTGGATTTCAAGCTAGGTTCTGGTAGACTCTTCGGTTCGGTGCCCTCTGCCCCGGAATAAGCCCTGCAACGGACAAGTTCCAGAGCCGTGGTTCACCCCAAAACCTCATGCTTCCCAGCAAAACCCCGGCCTTTGGGCTGGCTGGGCGGTTGGCTGGCCTCAATCAAAACCAAGGATGGCTGTGGGTCAAAACCAATGGTACCGCTTTGGGGTAGGTGCACCACCCATTTTAGAACCTATTTTAGTGGGGATTGGGATGTTCACTGGGGGTACGATTTGGATTTTGACCCATAGCCAATTGTTGTTCCACACAAACGGCGCCTCCCCCTCCCAGCCCTCTCCGCATACAGCTCGCCGCACGGGAGTGCCAGCGCAAGCGGCGGCAGTGCCGCGGCCGCCAAGCAAAACATGGCGCTTGGCCATTGCGACGCCGCGAGAACGGCGCAGTGCCATAAGGCTCTCCCGAAAAAGTAGGAAACCCGCGTGGATGCGAAGGAAACCAAAAGGCCACCAACTTAAAAACCAAATTGGGAAACCAGGGACCAAGAAGAACGCTTGGGCATGTTTGGATGTAAAAACAAGCAGGGTTTTCCCAGAAGCTTCAGCATTGCAAGGGTCAAGGCCAGGGTGGCCAGAGCGGCTAGAGCCTTTCAGGCCCACAAAGGAGCTCAGGAGAGTTGCGGAAGCTGTGGGTGATGGAGTTGATCCAGCTGGCCCCAAGATCAAGATCAGTAGGTCATAGGGGTAGTAATTTTAATTGGGGACCCGGATCAATGTCCACCAACCATTGTTGGCATCACAGTATTCCCCATTCGACTTCAAGCTGACAAGCTGACGCATCGACTCTGTTTAGAGCAGCGACCATTGCCTTTCTGAGGGCTTCATGGCAACGGATGCGGCGTCCCAAATTCAAGAGCATGCCATCCTGCACATGGTGGACAAAAACAATGCCCTTCTGTGATACCAATCAGGGCCATCCTTCTGACTCATGACTACAAGCATAAAGGTTTTCTCATGGTATCAGAGAAAGCCCGATGTCCAGCAAAGCTGATCCGCGCCACGAACATTGTAAGAAACCAAAGCATGTCCTGTGCTGGTGTCGTTCCGGCTGGCTTCACATTGACAAACCGTCGACATGGCCCAAAACGCATTTTGTTCTCAACAATGGCATGTGCAACATATGCCATATGGTATGTGAGGTGAAGCTCTCGCGATGGTACAAGTAGTAAATCCCCAACAAATCCGACGGTGTGCCATTTTACAAGAGTCAGCCTTCAGTCTTCAGTGACGCGGCATGTCATTTGGACAAATATCGAAGGTAGTGTGTCCAATGCAACTTCCCACCATCTTGCACATGACACCACCACTCCAGCCCTTGACCTTCAGCAGCCTTGCGGACTCTCTCGAGCTCTGACCCGCCTCGGTCTCCAGCTGCTCCTTCATGCCCTGCAGAAGTGTCAAGACCTGCTCAAGATAGGGCGAACGCTCTCAGAACGGGTTGGACCGGCCAATGTCACTTTAACACTCAAAACTTCCTGCTAACAGAGGGGCCTGTCTTTTGAAATTCTCCTCGTTGAGGGGGAGGGCACAAAACAACGGTTGCGTGACAATCGAGATATCACAACACAATCGCTCTGAGTATACGGCGACAACTCGAAGTGAACACGAAAGCACTTCTAGACTAGCGGAAAAGTGCAACCAATCCCCTCCCCATGCTTCGCAACACTTCGAATCGAAAAACCACTCACCAAAACAAAATGGCCGAGGGCGTCTCATGCGAATCGGGATTCCGCTTGCAAAGAAGCACGCTCTGCAAAGCTCACCCGGCACCTTGTTCACCGGCCGCGCTCGTGCCTCCTGGCACGCTGAGGGCCACATGCTGAGTAAAAGCACGCCAATGAGGTGACCTTACATGGGTTCTAGGACGCTACATTGGGCGCAGACTGGAATCCGTTGAGTAGCACCCGTTTAGGGTCCCCTGAACTAACATACAACATACTTTGCCACGCAACATTTCCCAGCTGAGCTCCCATCGCTTTCAGCAGGATAGCGAATCACAGTTTGTCTGTTTAATGGCCCAGCACCATGTAAACAAAGCCCAAACATAATTGGTTGGATTGCGTACGTTCGGGTAGACATTGCCATTACATATCAAGATTGCCAATTGAAAGAAAGAGATACGTATCCGAGCCTTCAGCATCCATTGCCGATGGATGCCGGATAAAAAGCCTTCTTTTAATGGGTGATAATTCAACTACTTCAGCGTATAACCCCGCAAGCCGATCACTACGATGTATTCCAAACACACCTTCCTGTTCGTCATCGATCCTATCATCTGCAGCAGGGCTGCCCTTCAAGTGGATGCAGCGGGTGAGGCTATTGCTCACCGACACCTATTCACTTGATTATGTTTTTCAATCTCAGTAGATTTGAAGGCTGCGGAGAAGAAAAAAAGAAGTGAACCCCAGCACCGAGTTTCAGGGCGGGGCCCGAAAGGGAAGCTTAAACTTAAACCTCGATCTTCGTTCCGCCGTCGCGAAACGGGGACTGGCCTCCATGTCAAAGGATAGGAGGCCGCTGGCCGGTGCCATCAGCGGCAGCAGCAGGGCCTGGAAGTGGCTGTGGTGGGCAAAAGTGGGGTACTGCAACTCCAAAATCGGGTGCCGGACAAATGGAAACACGAACCAAAATCTGCGGCTCTTGTTGGTGGGTTAAGTGACCTATATTCAAGTGGGCATGGGGAAAGCGCGTTGAAATCGGGGATCCCTCGCTCGCGGATTGAAGAGATGAGAAACATAGCAAGGGACCCCGAAAACATGGGGGCGGTTAAAAAAGTTGCCAGTTGTCAATGTTCATCCTAAACATCGGAACCTGGTATCCCTAGTATTCGTGGCTTAAAGCATGACAGCCTGATTATACAATTATTTTGGTCCCCAGCCCTTTCAAGGCGGTACCACACGATGGACACTGGAAAATGCCCCCGGTAGGGATTGCCTCTAAGTGAGAAGAATCTCAAACGCGTGGTTTATCTTGCAGGTTCAAAGACAAGCAACAAACACACATGCACCGAAAGGGCCAGTCGACAGGCACGGTACTTTGACTCTAGCTGACATCTCTGTTGAAAACAGAGGTTGGTGCTGCGTGGGCTCGGTTTGAAAACTGCAAGTCGGAATTGAACATCAATTCGGAGAAATGTGGACTTGATGAAAACGTCTCCGGGCTGCCCCGCCAGCATCTTGGAAGGCACCTGCAAGCCGCATAGCCAAAAAGCCCACGCTTTTCAAAGGAAGTCTGACAGGAGGGGGTTGGGTTGAGGGAAGGGGGCTGGAGGAAGTTGTTGGGCAGGAGGTCCGGGAAGTGTGACAATTCAGGTCGCGCTCCGCTTGGCTCCTCCTGTTTGGATATCGTCCACTTTGCCAAGAGCTTCACTAAATGGCAGGGTAAGGCTCCGCGTATGATGTTTTCCGTGAAGAGGCTAGCTTTCCGAATGTCCAAATGATACAAATTCGCACTGTTCTGGTGCATTCTGCCTAGGAGCTACCCCTTCCTATCGGTTGAGACGACTTTACCATGGTGCTGCTTTCGAGCCCCCAGCTGCAAGGCCCACTGGCTCTTCCTACATGAAATGCCAAAGAACAAGTTCCGCAAACAAACGTGGTGTACTGTACATGCAGTACATGGAGCCGGACAACAGGACGCCTTGCGCCAGCTTGGATCGTTGCTTGCTTCGAATTGGTGTGGGCTTCCACAACGAACGTCATCCGGCACTACGCGAGAGCAACGGGGAACGTGACAAAGCAGCGAGCCCCGGCCTGCATGGCTTCAATGTAGGCGGGAATTGCCCGGGTGGCTACCGTGTACCCGAGCCAGCTTGCCGGATGCCACTGAATGCAGGGCAGACCTTCGGGACTCAAGGCTGGGGATCGCCAGCTTAGTCGCCCATTGCCCGTGGCAGAAAAAAGAAAAAGAGCACCCCCGTTCTGCTGGCAATCTTCAGAAGGGAAGCACGCAAAAAAACAAAACAAAGAAAAGCTGGAAAGGCACAGCGCAGCATTCGCACGCACACGCCTGAAAACTGAGAACTGGGGCTGCCCAGAACCCAGCTAATGTCAACCTCGAAGGTGCGCGCGCATAAGTCGATCTACCAAAAGTAACGTGCAAGCCTCAAGTCAGCCCGAAGAAACTCTCAACACTCCCAATCCAACCAGCCACAACCAACCAAGCAACCAACCAACCAAACGAAACGGCCAGGGTGAGCAAAGCAACGCCTTGCACACTGTTAGATTGCGCTGCCTTTGATTCACCGAGGGTGTTTCACTGGATTTCTGCTGTTCAATGTTACGCGGATGGAACATTCTGCTCACGACCGATGCATATCTATGCCAAAACTGGGCAAATTCTTTGCACCCTGTTTGCCTCTACTGAGATATGGTGTCTGCCGGTGGCAGTAACACCTCTCCGACTCCTCTCATCCCTCCCTCGCTCCGGGACCCACATTTTGGCCCGCGGCAGCTTCGTCCGCGGGGCGAAACGAACCGGCGCTCAGTCCAGCTGGACCTCCGCGAAGTTGGCCCCTGGGCGACGCCACATCCGGCGACGCACGTCGCACACCCGAGGGCTCATCACCGGCTCCAACGTCTGCCCAAGAAAAAGCGATTTGCAGATACCGCACGGAGACGCATCCAACGAAATGTTTGGGCGCATAACCTTTGCCCAATTCTACCTGCAACGAGCAAGCTGGTGAAAAGGCCTGGAGAGAACATGAGCAAATCCGACACTTTTGGAAGAGGCCAACATGCAAAGATGTGATTCGAACGGGCACACGTCCAAAGAAAGCGTGTTTGGGGGCATAACCTTACGCGACCGCCCCACCGACCAACCGACCGACCGACCGACCGATGGACCGACCGATGGACCGACCGACCGACCGACCGACCGACCCTTCCGCCACCCAGCCCGCTAAACCTAGGCAAAAGAACAACTCGGGGCCCTTCCAAAAGTGGCTAGTCATAAACTTTAATTTTAAACGCATGCTTCACCGCCTACTGTATGCCAATTCTGCTTGGCATGTCCAAGCGTTCTCATAGAAGAGCTCCACTTCGCTGGTGATGTCCAAATGTCGAAATCCGAGACTTCTCTGCCCCACCCAAAACCACCCAACCAGAGCGCGCCTGACAGAATCGCCTTGGCCTTCTTTACAGAGTCCATCTCCTAACGCAAGGCCAAGCATGACCCAAAACCCATCAGGGCCCACCCAAAACCGATACCTGGCAATCTTGTCCGTTCGCGTGTTCGTGTTGTCCTCCTATGTAATGTCAAAGTCAATGCCCAAAGGGCCACCCTGTGCTCGGAACTATGTATGCTTGTTCCGAGGGTTGACCGCAAAGGCGCCACTTCGATCTTCCAGGCCGAAAAACAAACGCCTAAGAAAGGCGGCAACTACAACCATTCCCCCAGCAGATGTTTGCATTCCTGTTCTCCCCGCTGTCTTGCTTGCCGCACATGCCTAAGCTGGAACATCCGGTTGGAACACGCACATCTATAGACACACCAACACAAAGCCAAGCAATCTGGGACCTGGTGCTGGGAGAGCGGATTGCTAGCAAGATTGAGAGCAATATGAATGGCAAAGCAAGGACCCCGATGAAGGGTCTACGAAACCCAGTCAGCCTCAATTTAGCTTTAGACTCACGAGAGCCTGCTTTAGCACTTCCGAGTCTCAGCCCTGCACCTGCCTCCCCACTCCCTCGCGCTCCCTCCCTGCCCGCTCTCAGCTGCGCTCTTGGAAACAACTAGATGGATTCCGCTGGCAGAGGAGCCAACTGAAATCTGAAATCCGACTCCATCCGTTTCGGCCCCCAGCCCCCCTGCGCCTCGTCGCGGGCGCTCTGCCGGGCCTCGAAGTTCTGGAGCAGCCAGTCGCAGGTTTCCTCAGATCGGTGTCGGGATCCCGAGGCATCCCTGAAGTGGCAACGCCCAACTTGGGATGTCAGTGACTCGAACCAAGCCATTGGAATCCGCCAGCCAAAGGGCTGTGTTTGCCAAAGCACCAAAGGGCTCTGGTTGAAAGGGGGACCCACAGGCCAAACGCACGAGCGCCAATGGATTGGCCAAGCGCATGGAAAGCCCACAGATGGAGGCAGCCAGCCGGCAAGAGAAGACAGCTCTATTCATCCCCCGCCCACAACAGAAAGCCAAAAAGAAAGAAACAAGTCAACATCCAGTGACCCGGGTCTTCTCTGATATGCCTTCAAATTCCAGCAACTCCCGCACATGATCGCAGCAGACTACCCTGCGGCACCGCTGGGCCAAACAACACACGCCCGGAGAACCCGAAAGGCCACTCTCAGCCAACCTCAGCTTTTGCCCAACAAATCAAGATATGGTTCGATGGTGGTTCATGTTTAGTGAACCTGAAAATGCAGTAGAAATGAACAAATAAACAAAAAAGACACTATTTAAGACTCTTTGGCAAAGCATACGGGAGTTTCAAAACAAGAACAAAAGAGGTGGGTACCAACTCCAAAATTCCCCTTCCTTTCACTTGCTTTTTCGCCCCCTGGAAAAAATGAGAAAACATGAGCGAAATCGAATCCCTTAAACCCAACAAACAAAATGGAGATTGATCAAGATTCCTGGCGCCCAAGCGACCATCCCATTTAGTGGGAAGCATATCATCTTTTTAGTGGCTTCTTCCAGATGGCATCCCACGTTCATCGAACCTTTGGATCAACCCCCACAGATTCGTTTCAGCAAATGGCTGTGGGTCAAACCAATGGGATCCCATTTTGCTTGGTAGGTGAATTCACCACCCATGTTAGAACCGACTTTCGTGGTTGGATTGAATCGGATGTTCACTGGGGGCTAACCGATTTGGATTTTGACCCATGGCCAAATGGCAGCTTCTGGGAAAGTCGCTAGTGAGGCCAAAACGGGCACATTTTCGTGGCCGGTAAGGGTGTGCGAATCCATCAAACGGAGAGACCTCTTGGAAAAGTGCTTTTCCATTAAACCTGCCCCGAAAGCTCCAAATACATGTTTTTCGGGTATCATGTCAATATTCTACTAAAAAAGGTACTATGGACACCCACGTGTTTCTGGAGGTTAGACCGTTGCTTGGGGTTTTGGAGCAACCCGCAACAGGCAGGAAAAAAGAAAAAAAACTGCGTTTTTAAGGGTATGGTGTCAACCCTTGACCAACAAAGGTCGTATTTACTCCGGAAAACCTGCCCGATACACCCAATACCCACTTTTCTCAGGGTATGATGTCAACCCTCTACTAAAAAAGGAGGTATTTACCTTGGAAAACCGAAACCGGGTTTTCCCAAAATACCGACTGAAGGTTTAATCCATACCCCTTTGAAGCAAACAGCTTCCGGACCAAACCTCCTCGTTCCGAGGCGCATGGAGCTCCGCCGCCTTCTTCTGCAAGGTCCCCAGCTCCGCCTCCTCGCCCTCCCGCGCGCGCTTGGTCTGCGCCAGCGTCTGGCCGGCACGACGTGGGTCCAGGTCCGTTCTTGGGGTGACCCCCCTGTTTTGGGATAGATTTTAAGGGAAGCCAACAGGTGTGGGGGGACAGCTGTTTGGGTTCCAAGGGAAGACTGGGAACTCTGAATCTGGCTTGGCACATTTCGCTTGACGGGGTGTTGTGCTTGGATGTGGTCGGTTTCAGGTCGTAACACCTGATCGATGTCCTCTTTTTTTCGGTGCCGTGTTGCAGGCAAACCCTGGAACAATAAACCGCTGGTTGATGCATAGGGGTGTGTCCCCTTTGAGTGGGCACTTTTGGAGGGAACAGCCCCTAATAGGACGGGAATATTAATGTGGGGCCAACAGTACAGAGATACTCTTGAGTCTTGGTCGATCAAATTCATTGATCCCGTGCTGCCCTTCCAAACTTCCACCCCCCCACCCCCCCGCAACTGCCTTCTCGAGCTTGGCCTTAGTGGATTTCTTGGTGGCGATGGCCGCATCCTACGAACCGAGCGGGCCGAATGTTGAATGCGCTTGTGGGGTACTCGTCTCGCTTCCTGGGTACATTGGTCAAAAAATGCTAACTTTCTGTTTACCACTAAAATGGTCTTCCAGAAAGTATAAAGTCCATGAACAAGGGAAGTGAAAAAATATCATGATCCTTGGAGAATCATGTGTACTTATTTTGCCCCTGGCGCGCCCGCCCGTTTGGTTTCCTAAAGCACTGCCCAAACAGGCCAGTTAATTTAAGAAGCCCCCCAAAAGCAAGCTTGCCGTTTCAATGTTTTGCGGCTGGAAAAACTGAAAGGTTAGTTTCAGCGCGTCAGCGACACATTAGGTCCCATGTCTAGCGGCGCAAACGCCATCCTCGCTCAACTTGCCTGGCTTTTGCCGCGAAAAGCCGTCTTTGCAGTCATGGAAAGCAGGGTCTCAACGTGCACGTGGCTTTTCATGCAGGCGGGCTGCATGGCTGGTCAAGGGCCCTGAACAAGCGGGAATTCCGCCTTCAACTGTACCGTGGAAAACAAATGCGATACAAACACGCAACGCTCCACCAGTGCCGTCCAGCAGCACACCTATCTTAAGCTTGCTACCCACTCCCCCCGAGAAGAGAAATTTGCAAAGTGATCCGTTGCCCACTCCTTGGCCGTGATGGACTCAGTGGTGTCCTTGGCAAATGCCTCATAGGCGGTCTGCGCACCTGGGGGCAAAGAGGCCGAAAAGGCCCAAGAAGCTCCGAAGTTGCCAGAAACACGCGGCCCTGCTTGACAGGTTGCTTCAAGCAACAAAAACAATGCCATAGCTGTTCTGCTCAAGAATCCATGTGTTTGCCGCGCACAAAAAGAAAACAAACACAGACACAAGCCAGACAATCAACAAAAACACTTAGCGTACAAACAACGAAACAAAGAAACGGAAACCAAGCAAAACTAATCAAACAAGGGAAAAGGCAGTGTGTCCAATCAACATCCTGATAAACCGGGGAAAAAAGTCCCCTAGTTCTTCCCCGGTTTCAGGTTTGTCCCACTTTGTTTGCCCTTTCCTGGGCAGTTGGACACTCTTCCCTTTTTTCAGCTAGCCACTTCCGCGCAGGGAACCCTCAGCGATGGTTGCCAATTACGGTGCATGCCCCTGCCATTCTGCAAGAAAACCAGACGCTGCAAAAACGGCGGCACATCACTTTCGAAAAATGGTAAGTCGCGTTCAACGCCACTCAAACACATGATCTCGGTTTAATGGAAAACCTATTAGTTGGCAAAAAGTTAGAGTCCTAACATCCAAGCAAAAATGCACCAAAGTGGTGTACCATATGGTACATCACTTGAAAATCGGGGACTCCCGTGCCCTTCCCTTGCTGGGCACCATGGCGCTGGTCTCTCGGTCTGGGAGAGTCTGGGGCGGCGGGCTCTTCTCGGCCCGCACGGCCTCGGCCTCCATTGCCGTGGTGTCGTCCACCAGCTGCTGCAGCATGGACATCACCTCATGAAAAGCGGGGTGGGTGGCACCTGGGATTCGTACCCCCTGGAAAGGAAAGATGTCCTGGAATCTACCCCTCATCCAGGGAAAAATGAGGAGGTGCCCCTAAAAGTTTATGAGGTTTCGCTTGAAACAGCCCTTTTGAATCGATGGGTTCACCTGATGAATGGCGGGCTTTGAAATGAGTGGCTTCCTTTTCTGCAAAGTCATGTGTGGCCTTTTTCGAACTGGGAACGAACCTCTATCCTGAATCCTGGCCTGCAGTTCCCGACAAGGTTTCACCCACCAAAAGCTCTAACACACCTGCCAAAAGCCCCTTTGAACGGCGCGGCCAATCCTGAAAACGACGACATAGGCCACCTTGTTTGTGATAAGCTGACTCGAAGGGATTTGCTCATTGTAGACAAACAACTCTTTCCGTCCTATTCACCACTACTTTATCGGTAGAGATGATTCCCTTGTCACAAATTACTGAAAGTGGCAAACTGAAACCATTGCTTAACCGTCGATGCGCGAGACACGACTGGATCTGTTGGACCAACTCTGGTTCCTCTGCCAAGCCACGGCAAAACCAATGGGCTTTAAATGGGTAACCAAAATGGGCCAAAAACATTGCCGGGCGCCATGAATGTCAGCACAAAACATGTCCAGGCACGGCCGAACGCAAGCTATGAACTCCCTCGCTCCTTTCCGGAAGATGGGCACTCGCCATCTCCCGCCGAGCTCCAGACGCCGAAGCTCTTGCCGTTGGCCTGGTAGTCCTTGAACCCCCCAGGCGCCTGGATGCGCGAGCGTCGCATGAGCAGGGAGTCGTCAAATCATCTCAAAGCGGGTTGGCTTGTTTTCGCACCGACGCCTTTCAGTTTCATCCCAAAAGAAGACAGTGTCACGATGCATCTGGAAAGTGCCAACCTAACCGCGGGCCCTTCTGTCTCAGAACCAGTCAAGCTGTGTCTGAATCCCAGAGCCGTCACCCCCGTAGTCAGCATGGTTTTAAGTCACCAGGGAGCCATCGTCCAAAACGGCTGCAAAAGCACTCCGAGCTGCGTGGATAAGCTGGACCCCCAGTGCTCTTGCACTGCCTGCTGCTCGCCAGGTCAGGATCGCCCCCAGTCACAACAAAGCCGTCCTCAAGAATGGCATGCCCTGCTCTCGCACCGGCTACTGTCACCGTCAGTAGTGTCACCGCAAAGCCATCCTCAAGGATGGCAAACGCACTCCCAGTTGCTTGAATCTGCTGGACACCCATCAACCGTTTTTGCACGTAGCCGCTGTCAACGGGGGGGGATTGCCCCAAGTCGTCAGGGCCGGACATTTTCCAGAACAGCAAGGGCTTCAAAAGTTGCTTGGATTTGCTGGACCCGCGCCAGCTGTGTTTACACCACGTGAAGAGCAAACGCTCCGGCTGTGGAAGCTAGCCTGAAGGGCCGCACGACGGCATAAACGCTGCCCCCGTCTCGCAAGCCTGTCTCAAAGTGGAAGACGCGTCTAGCTGCTGCCCTCCAAACACAAGCTTTCGGCCAGTTTGCATGCACTTGCACGGCGAAACAAGGTCGAAACCATTTTGGGGGAATCATTCCAAAGCGGGTCCTTTATCAAGGGACACCACTTGGCTGTTTTGTATTTTTTGACCTGGGTACCCTTCTTTTCACCTCGGTTTGCACGGAAACTAAAAGGAAGAACCAGAATTCCATGTGTTTTGGGAGGCCATTATATATATAGATATATATATATATATAATCCCAATATTTTGTTCAGCGTTCCTCGAGTTGGTGGCTTGGATTGGTGGTTGAGGGCCTCTTACAACAAGGGATCCGCCAACCCCGGCCTTCGGCTGGACTGCGCTGCCCTGCACGAAGGCACCCTGGCGCGTCGGTCGATCAGTCGATATGGCTCACTCGTCTTCCCTCCCCCCCCCCAAAAAAAAAAACGCACGAGAAACAGGGAGGGTTCATTTTGGTATTTCTGCCAACCTGAAAGAGAAGAACACTGTATATGTCAAAATAAGTCGAAATCGGAGGGACCCCACAAATGGTCTCTTGGAGTCCCCGTAAATCCCTCAAAAACCAAGCCATGTTGGTTGGGAGCTGCGAGGCCAGGCAAATGCATTGCCCGTACAAACACATGCAGTGACGGAAGGCCAAGTGACATTCTGGGTCAGGAGCTTTGCCCTCCGTGTAAGGATCATTTGAAAAGACCTTGTAGCTGTCGTGGGATTGAACCGCATGAACGAATCCCACCAAACAATGTGGCTGCCTGGCAGCAGGGCAGTATGGCCCAGATCTGCAGTCATTCCATCAGAAGGCAAACTCTTAGGAACCAGCAGCGGAAAATGATCCCGCAGGGGCAACCTAGAGATTGTGGCACCATGAACTTGGCCCACATCTGGGATACGCAGAAAAAAGATGTTCTCATCCTGTTTTCCTGCAGTCTACCCAATTGACAGGCAAACTGTTCCTGGCGGTCCCCAACCCTGCGCTTCTCGCCGGGTCCACCTCCCACCGCCCTCGCCGGCCCCCGCCCCAGCTCGCCCTCGCCGGCCCCCCCCCCAGCTCGCCTTGTTGTAGAACTTTCCCAACACCTGCAGAGCCTCGGGGAGGGTGACGTGTCGACCCGAAACAAGCTCCAACCGGGAAAGAGAAAATCGCTGAAGTTTTCGGGTTTCAAGGCGGAAAGGTCTGTAAGGAAGGATTATTTTGTGGGAAAACGTGGAGAGGGCATGCTTTGTGCGATCTGACTTGGCACGCCCCAAGTAGGAGGCCTCACTCTTGTCTCAATTCTAGTGAAGACGTAATTGCTGAATCAAAGATGCTAACTTTCAACTTCCGAAATCCGTATCTGGAATAGAGATGGCCTGTCCAAGCCCCCCTTCCTGTCAAGCCCAGGCCTGCTTCAGGAGGGTTGCGGTCTGCCTCTGCTCCTCAACCACCTTCTGGAACTCCGTGTTCTCCTGGCTGGAAGAATCCAAGAACCAGCTACAGGAAGAAATTGAACCCCGCCCCCCTCTCCCCCCTCGAAAGTTCGAAGTTCTTGCATTTGGTTCTATGAAAGAAACGCTGCCCAAAAGCGGGGGGGTCCTAAATCGCGAACCCCTTTGATCCCGAATCAGCCAGGCTCAACACCTATCCAGCACAATCCCAACATAGGTCACCTTTTGGAAGGCCATCTATTTCGAACCAAACCAACCCAAAAAGGAAGCCTATGAATCCCACGATCCAGGGCGGAATCAAGACCCCGGCTTCTGGTCGCCCACAAGCTCGGCTTCCGGGGGCCTTCTCACGGTTCTGGCCCGCCAGTTGCAGCTGCTTCTGCATCTCCGCGATCTCGCCCTGCCTCGAGATCCAAACCGAAGGGGAGGAATCCAGGAGGAAAGGCCGGGGTTGGGACCTGTTGGCGGCAAGTCCTGGGGAGCTCGCCAGGTCTGAATCAAACAAGGGGGTTTTGAGAGATTATGGTACACAAACGTCCTGGCATGAAACTTCGGATGTTCGACCACTGGTCCAGAACTCGCTCTCATTGCGACTTTCCAGCACGCGATGAGCCGTGCTACACGCAATGAGTATGTTGCCTCAGAACAGTGCACTCATTGGAAATCGGTTGGGCAGTGGCTGGGAAGCAAACCAACCGCATCTCTTGTGCAGAACTGGACTGCAAACAGCCACAAAAGGCCGACCTTTTTGGGGGGGGGGGATTTGTCCAGCGCTTTTATCCGTTCCTTTTTCCGGTCGCCTTTGGAGTGGTTTAAGGTGGGTCCAGGGAGTCTAGGGTTTAGAGTGGTTGGGGGTTCGGGGTGGGCCTGGTTTAGGTGGGTTTTGGTTTGGTTGGGGTGGTTGGGGGCAGGTAGAGGGTTGGATGGAGCTTGGGTTGGCGCAAGGTTGGTTTAGTTGAGGATTAAGGTGGGTTTAAGGTTGGTTTAGTGTGGTTCTGGTAGTTTGGGTGTGGGCAGTGTTGGTTCAAGGTCCTAGGCTTAGGGTAGGCTTCGGCCAGGTTTAGGTTTACTTGGGTAGGTTTAGCATGGGTTTGGGGTGGGCAGGTTATTAGTTTAGGGTAGGATGGGTTTAGGGGTACGTTCAGGGTTGCCGTCTTCCAGGACGTCCTTGCTGCATGAACCGCCACCTTCACGAGGGTACTTGGCGGGTGGCTTGGTGTAACAGGACAGGAGAATGAAAGCCAGCTGAGTGACAGGCATCTAGGCTCTTACAGGGTGGTTTGGGGTGTGCAGGGTTGGTTTGGGGCGGGTTTTGGTTCTGTTTTTTGGGCTGGGTTCAGGTTCAGGGTGCCTTGGGGGGTTGGTTTCGGGCGGGCTTCGGGATCCGTCCAGGGTTGGCTCAAGTTGGGTTAGGGCTGGGAGCGTGCAGGTTGGGCTTTGGGGTTCAGAGTTGTGGACCGTTTAGGCCGGCGTGCGGGTGTGTAGGTGGGTTTATGGGTTGGTTTGGGGTTGGCTTAAGGCTAGTCGAGGGTGTGTTTGCGGTTGCTTTAGGTGGGTCGGTTTAGGATTGATCTAGGGTGGGTTCAGATGGAGTTTGGGTTGGCTGGGTTGGTTGAGTTGAGGATAAAGGCGGGTTTAGTGAGGTTGCGGATCGGGTGTTTCGGGTGTGCGTTTTTAGGGTTCAAGGCACGTTTGGTACGTTTAGGGTGGTTGAGGGTAGGTCAAGGGTATGTTTGGGGTGCGTTTAGGGTCTGAGGTGGGTCGGGGCAGGTGTAGGGTAGTGGTTTTGTGTTTCAAGTACACCGGGGGGGTTCAGGGTGCTTCATTGCTTGCTTGCTTGCTGGCTCTCTTGTGCTTGCTTGCTTGTTTGCAAGGGGACTGGAAAAAAAAATGCAGAGGGAGAAAAACTATCTAAATAGTATAGCACCCGCCACAAAACCTTCTGCAAAACTCACTCACACCCCTGTTGTGCTTTTTAACGACCTTATTCAAGCCGCACGGCTCTGACGCGCAGCATTTAAGTTTGGCTCAGAGCAGGGGCCAAAAGCTGTGGATCCATCCTCAATGAAAGCAGTGGGCACCGAGCTGAACCAACAGCTACCGGTTCCACAGATCTCTACTCAGAGAAAAACAAACTTGGGCTTACAGAGCTGGAATCATGCTTGCTTTTTAAAAAAAAAATCGCTGCGGGCAAAAAGCACTGGTCCGAAAAGCAAAAACAAGCCCCTCCTGCTTGCCCCCTGTTCGAAAAGCCGTTTTCTGGGGCCGACTGCAGCGTCTCCATCTCGCTCTTGGGCTTCTCCAGGTCGATGGCCTGTCACCGGCTTGGTCGGCGTGACTCGTGGCTCGCTGCCGGGTGTTGTTGCCTTGCTTTGGGCCGTATACCAATATATGGCTGTGGCTCAAAAACCCGGAATTCCAAAATGGATTCCTGGTAAGTGGAAACACGGACCAAAACCTGTGCAACCCCTCCTGGTTAACTTTGAGCCACACCCATACGGGGGTTCATCAAAAGGTCCTTTACACGGGATGACCATTCGGGAAAACCACTAAAAAAGATGATGATGCCCACTAAGTGGGACAAGTTGCCCTTGGTAACTTGGGGGGCCGGGAAGATTGATCAACCCTCATATGATATACTTCCCCAGTGTCAGGCGGCGTTTTTTTACAACCCCCACATCACCAGCCTGATTGATGCACATCCTTCTAGAAACCACCCCTGCCTCTTTTGGCGACCTGCAACGGTCCGGATCCGACATCTCCGCAATCCGACTTGGATTGCAAACGGAGCCCACGTCCCCGGCCTGCTCCTTGGCAAGCAGGGCCTCCTTGCTGCCTCGGGAACTACGACCCCCAGTCAATTTTTTCACTGGGCCCAACAGCAAGGTTTCATGGATTGTGTTTCCATGAATCGCTTGCATTCAGAGTCTTCAGAGCCTGCCCTGGCTGTGGAAAACAACTCTGCAATACCCCGTTTATCAAATGAACACTTCAACTCACATTTCCAATTGAGCGGTGCCGAAGATAGGGTACATAAAATCCTCTACTAACAAACTACTTTCGCGGAACCTTTCGCGATGCTTTCGCGGCCACACGTTTCACTTTCGGGCACGTGTCTTGTAATGATCACTTTCACAGAGCTTTCGCGGGCAACACAGAAACTGCAAACATGCACTTTCGCGACGCTTTCGGCGGCGGGCTCTTTTTCAACCACTTTCGCCGCAAGCTTTCGCGGGCTTTCGCACCCTGCGAGGCTTCGTTGGGAGAGGCCCTCAAAAACACTCCTTTCATAAAGGGTTTTTGGGCGCTGCTCAATTGGGGTTTGCAGCTTTGCCTTCCCTACCCGACAACCTGCATCGATGTCCGGAGCCACCCCCCCGCGGCCCCCGCGTTCCTCTTGCGGCCCGGGCGGGTCTTGTCCTCGCTCTGCAGCTGCGTCTCACGGAGCTCCGCGATGCAGAAGTCCTTCTGCTTCACCTTCCAGGCGGGGTGGGTGGGAAAAAAGAAACGATTTTCCGAGGCAGGGTTCCACTTTTTGACCCCAAGATAGACTTAAACCCAGGAGTGGTTGATTTCCCCCAAAGGGCAACCCCTGGGTTTAAGTCTACCTTGGGGTAGTCAAAAAGCGGAACCCTGTTCCAAGGAATCTCGATATCCTCAACACATCGATAAGCTGGGCAGAGACCCCGGAGCTTTCAGCTGGGAGAAAAAAACATGGAACCTAGAAACCCAAAGCTCATTCCGGGAATTTGCCGCTCCGAAGATTCGATTCACAGCACTCAACATCTGTTCATCTGCAAACCTTAAGTTCCAAGACCTGAACTAAGGGATCTTCAAGGACCTGCATCACGGCCTTCCCTCGTTTTACTCTCTGCATCACGGGCGGGGGGGGGGGGTTAGGCAAGGAAGCTCCGATCCCAGCCACCAGCCACTGGACCGGGGCGCCTCGTCCTCCTGCTCCTTCTTCAGCGCAAAGACCATGTCATCCATGGCCTTCCCAAACTCGGGAAGTTGGACATATGACATATGGGTATGGGTCAAGTTAAACCACCCGGAGACCGCAGGTGGTCCATGTTTCCACTTGCCAGAGTTCCATGTTGGGTACATGTTGTGGGTCAAAAATATGGTAACCCCAAAATGGGAACCCTGTTAAATGGAAACATGGATTAAACCTCTGGTCCCATGGTGGTGAACAAATTGACCCACAGCCATATGTTTTTGTGCTCTGCACTGTGTCATTTAAGAATTTGCTGTGGTCCTGGAGAAAAAAACGTCAAACAAATGAAACTCACGCAGAATGTGCCGTGGCGGCTGGTTTCGCTATTGCTTGATTGCTGGCATGAGATCTGGCCAGTGCCTGTTGATATATCGTTGGGTTGCACATTCGGAGTTTCTCACTTTGTATCCTGGTTCCACGCAGGCCGTGTGGCCAGTCAATTCCAAACTCCAGGCGGTGTCATGCACATGGGATCCTCCTTGTTTCGCGGCTTTCAAGACGGTTCCAAGAGGGCCAAGATTTTGGCACCCTCATTCCACACGGTTGTGACAAGCCACTAATAGCCCTAGGCCCTACGCATTTGTTTGCAGGGATAGGAGGCATGATGCTACAAAGTTCCGGCACCCCTTGCCGACTAACAGACCATGTGCCGCGGTGACAGCGTTGCCGGAGTTTCGAATGAGCTTATCAATTTCCGCACAAGAGTCTTTGCATCTTCAGGAACCCATTGCCTTTGTTGCACCAAAATCCTCGCAGGAAGGGACAATGAAAATTGAATGCAGTCTGGGTGGAGGCTGCATGGCGCTCAGTTTTTTGAAAAGAGAAACGGGGGGGCCGGGGGGTGAGGCCAGTTATCTCTGCTCCCTGGATTGCATGAGGGAAACAACGAGTATGCTACTATGCATGGACAAAATCCACACAACGCACCACTTGGGACAAATTGGAACCCTGCCAAAAAAATAGGATAAACCTGGATAGACCACATCTACGCAACTGATCGCCTCTCATATGGGTCCAACCCGTCCATCCACTTTGGGACTTCGGATCGCCTTCTTGACGTTGGTGAACTTGTCGAGCTTCATCTGCATGGCCAGGGTCACCAGGCGAGGATCCTTGGCCTCGGTGTTGGCGCGCAAGAAAATGGGCGTTCCTTGACCCGGCAAAGAACCCTGGATCACTAAAACTACCGGTTGACTAATAGGGGCTGTCTGTCCCCTTCTGGGATTTGTTTCACATTTCTAGGTGCCACCCCCTAGAAATAGGACGGGTTCCCATTGTTTCAAGGAGCTGCCTTGTTTCTGCTCGACTATGAGAACCGCTTCCCGTGCCGCTGTTTTCGGTGCCATCGTCAGTGCAGCGGCCCGAAAATCACCAAGCTATCAGGTTCTGAGCAAGCCTTGAGGCGCCGTCACAAAAACATGAACCAAAACCCGAAGATTCCACGGACGTTTTCCAGCAAACTCACATGCACCTTCGAAGCAACAGAACCTCCCCCCGTGTTCACCTTGGACTCCTGCAAAGTCAGGAAAAAAAAGGCAACGGCCACACCACCCGAACAAAACACGCAGCCACCTTCCTTTTAAGGTGCCCAAAAAGAGTGGAGCAAACCTGAGAAACGACCACTGACTCGCACCTCCCCAAGCTCCAGGCTCCAGGCCCCCCCCCCACCCCCCCGACCTCCCGCGCCTTGGCCAAGCGGGAGGCCGCGCGCAGAGTGCGGGAGGAGATTTGTGACTCCTGGCGGGTTGGATACGGAAGTTTGGGCACCAACCATTTCGTGGTCCAAAGAAACGCGAAAGACTATCATGACAAGAAAGATACACAAAACAAGCATCGCAAACACTTCTGGGGCGGCTTCTGACCAAATCGGGGTGAACACAGAAACAGCGCATTCGGCATCAACAGAAAAGGCGAGAAGGCATCGCCAAAAACGCCCCTCTATAAAGCGATGCCGTCCCCCATGTGGCTTCAACATGTGGCTGCGGCTCAAAAAATATGTACCACATAACCTTGGCAAATGGAACCACTGCGGCTGGCCCCAGCTACCTTTCATGAGCCACACGAAATGTTACCAGGGCGGACTCCCATGGCTCCTGGAGGAAGGAGAAGCTCTTGGCGAAGCTGGCGTGAGCCTCCTCTGCATCCAGAATCTCCACGGCCTCGCTTCCACATGCCGGGGTGTGGTCATTTTGCGTGATCCGCCTCACCGTTCTTCACAGATCCTTTGGACCATTCTTGAGTTTGGAACCTCGGCGAAATGCTATGTTTGTGGTTCACCCCCTTGAACAGAGCGGCGCGACTTAAAACCGAAAAGGATGCTGCAAGGATGATGAGCTATGCTAAAGAGTGCGGCCATGGCTTCCGGACACCCGATCAAAAGCAAGAACCTGCATCAATATGGATCAATGTTCGCTTGTGACTGAAAAGCAACCCTGCTGAGAGGATTCTGCGCCCGCTTCCCAGAACCAGAAACCAACTTCAAGCCACCCCCACCAAAAACGTCAGCCGCCTTCCGAACCTTCAACCACAGGTGCCGCACATCCCTTCCGCCTTGCCCGAATGCAAATCCTTCTGATCTTTCTTGAGGGTGCCCACTTTTTCAGGTTGGCGAACTGGGGGAGAAAAACCCACAAGCAAAAATATCCACGGGTGTTCTTGGAGTCCCCCCATTTTTCACACATAAAACCGAACCACCCCCCACCCCACCCAAACCCCACGCATCGACCCAAACCGACGAAAACCTCCACGCCTTGGAGATGGCCTCGGTCTCCTCCGCCCGCGTCTTGGTGCGCTCCTCGTACTGGGCATCCATGGCCCCACACTGCGTCTTCACCTCTGCCACGAACCTCAGGTGGAGCTCTCTCTGCCGCTTGGCTTCTTTTTGCTGTGTCGTATGTTTTTTTCTTGGTCGGATGGTTTTCTTCTGTCGGAATGGGTTTTTTGTCGGATGGTTTTTACACGAAAAGGGTCTACGGATGGTGAATGTCGGATGGGTTAGTTGTCGGATGGTGAACACGAAAAGGGTTTACAACCTTCTTGCAGGGTAGTAGGTGTTTAGGGTTCTTGACTGCAAACATATAGTCCAAGTGTCCCATATCACCCCGCTTACCGGGTCGGAGCTCCAACGTTGTGTTGCGGACTCAAACCCCTATAAAAACAATCTTTTGCAACTGTCTCACAGACGTCATCTGTTCTGCATCGTGAAACCTCCCAAAACACATCTGGTACCCGAAAGGTGAACAATCCGCCATACCTGGGCCGATTTGGAGCGAGCGGCCTGTCACAAGGCGAGGACACCGGAGTTATTTGTGGACGCCCAGCAGGGTGTGTTTCCCTTTTCAGGGGACTTCGACAAGTTGTGGCTTTCTTTTAGGTGTCCTAATTTTGGGGACCCCCCGAAATGGTGGCTTGCCTTTAGGCTTCCCTTCAAAACCAACCAAAAAGGCGGTCCAACTCCAAACAAAGACACCCTCATTGGGTGCGATTGAAGATCCAAGATGGAGAGGCCAATAGCTGGGCCTGCTTGCGAGTAACCTTCACCCGGGGTGGAACGGAATCGAGTTTCCCAGAGTCGGCGTTGTATGTTTCACCAATTGGAATAAGCGATTCCTACACCAGAGTGAAAGCACATGACCCGGTCTCCTTTATGTAAGCAAGGAAAGGGCCTTGCTAAACCCCAATAGCGGAATTGCGCCATCGGGCCATCTACTCTCACTTTGGTAAACGTGAAGAACCTTCATCATTTTGCCCACGGCGGGCTCAACATAGCTAGTGCAGCCCCATGCAACATCTTGCCAGACTTGCTGATAGAAATACAAGTGGCAATGCCCACGGGCGCATCCCAAGTTGTGCCAGTTCTGTTTGTTTTCTTGGTTGAGCCTGCCTGCCTGTGCGTGCCTATGCCTGCGTTGGCCGGGGTGAAAAGGAGCATAAGTGGTGTCTTGGCAGCTTGCTGGCCCTGGAATTGAGGAATGCTCGAGAGGAAATGCCGCCGCAGCAGCTTCTTTTGCTCGCGCGGGTAAACCTAAAGATAACCAGCTCAGAGCTCCTTCGTGAAAGCAACTCCCGGGCAGGACAAGTCACACAGCCTCTCAAAACTACATGCCCAACCTCGCCCTTAACAACTCCGAGCGGGGCGAGCCGGCCCCAACAAGCATGCCTGTGGCCTCCTTTAGTTTGTGTCCATCAACAGCCTGATGCCTAGATGCCACAAAGGCAGGCCCTTGACTCATCCTGCTCAGGACTTATTTGGGCAGGCGCTGAAAGAGAATTCATGAGAAACAGGGACCCACGGATGACGTGGATCAGCTACATAACCAAAAGCAGACACCTGCCCGCCTTGGCCACCGAAGACCAACAGCGCGCCTGGACTTTACAATTCTCCTTGGAGAAGGCGCGCGCGCGCGCTCGGCTGGACAGCTGGGAATCCATGGGTCAAAACAAATGCACGCCCCAGCAGTCGCTTGCCGTAAATGGACATGGCAAGAAGCATCTCCTTGCCGGATTCGGCGACCTCATATAAGCAGCTATACATCCGGATGGGCCTGGAAGGGGCATGCCCGGCATGCCCACCAGTTGCGCAAAAGATACGCCACGTAAATTCGGGGAGCAACTCTCCATGTACGTGGCATGGAGAGTCTCAAAGCCCAGGGGCAACCACTTGGACTGCCCTGGGTGGCACTCAGAAAACACACAGCGCTGGACAGCACTCACGCCTGTGCAACCGTCTGCGCGCTCTAGCGCGCAAACGATTTTGGGGTACGACATGCTGACGCGGTTTTTCGACTGGTGGCTGCAGTTGGCAGCCTGTATGAACACATCCACGGACGCTCACTCAAACTATTCCTCAGACTGGCAGGCGGACCCTTCATGTGAGAACATGGTATTGATCGCTACGCCAAGCATAGCCACTCGGAACCGATCATGAGGAATATGCGGTCCAGCCCCAGCGCGGCTACAACTTTGGGCTTTCCAAAATTGTGCGAGCCTTCATCCGTGTGACCTGCAAATTTCTGAGATGCTTAAAAAATCCGTGAGCCAACGTCAATGGAATCTGGGTTTCTGCCAGCACAGTCTTGATTTGGTCCGCGACCGAGGCGCCCATCCATATTGGGAAAGTCAGTCCCCTTCTTTGGCATTCTGTCGAAAGCAGTACGGAAAAGACAAGAAGTCGCCAGAAAGAGTGTCAGGCATGTGTGCATGTCATACGGAGAAGAAAAATCCGAGATGTGAGCGCAACAGGCGGCCCTTCGGGTCCCAAAACCTCAAGCCAAGGGGCTCCGAGACCCTTCGTCGTATCAGTTTCGGGCAAAAGGACTGGCTTCACCAAGACAGGCAGAAAAAAAAGGGGCCCCCTTACCTTAAAGGAAAGCCGAAGCCTTGCCAGCACGTCGCCCATGGGCCATGGAAATCGAAAGCGGAAGCGAAAGCCGCCCGCTGTGTCTCGCCCTGGCCACCTGGGGGTTGGCGCCCTACCCGGCACTCCGCCCATCTGAGTTCAAGGGCCAAGGTCCAGGCGAACTCAGCCGCGCCCCGGTCATCCAATCCAGAACGAATCTCCGCTCGCCAGAAAGACGAAGATGCTCCGTTGCTTTCTGCTCTGCCAAAAGGTAAACTTTTGGTGGAAAATGGAAAACCTAATAGTTGGCAAAAAGTGAAATCTGCGCTCGCCAAAAAGAGGAATGTGCCTGTTTGTCAGCCCAAAAATATTGCGAGCAAAGCCTTGACATGCGAGAGGTTCCAACGGTATGGTGCTGCAAGTTGCAAGGCCCGCCCGAGTCCCAAAACATCTCAAGACGTGTCCTGCTCACGTGGACATGGGAAAAACGAGCGCTTGAAATATCTCTGCCGAACTTGCCCCAAAGGTGTTAAACATGGCATTGGTGACCAAGGCTATCCCGGCTATCCCGAGGTTGGCCAGTCTGCAGATGCGCGGTCTGCAAACCTCTGCGCTCTCCCGCGCCGCGTGGCTTGAGTGCCTCTGTACAATTGCAAGGAGTTCGGCAACTCGACGGATCGGGGGCATTAGGATATATGGGAATGGGTCAAAACTAAACCACCAGGATATGACCCATAGGTTTTTGTACCTGTTTCCATTTACCAGGGCAACCCATTTGGGTACCTGTTTTTGACCCACACCCATATATGCCCACTTGTACATCTCACACCCAACATTCAGAAAAAGAAGAAACAAAAAAAGCAAATTGGGCATGCAAGCCAAGAAAGCTCTGCCAGTGCAAAGTCTTGACTCCGTTGCCGAACTCGGAGGAGATAACTTGAAGGGTCTACCACCCCCCCAGCACCCGCGGCTGGACTTCGCGCTGCCGCCTCGGTGTGCAAGGAGAAAGCACCCGTCTCGTTGGAAGATCGAGGTGCGCTTTTTTTGCAGTGCCCAATGAAAACATGAAACGAGAACGTGAGTCCGGCCAAATCGGGCGGCAACAAGTATCAGTTGGAAATCCACGAATTGCTTTCTGGCCTTGAAGCTGACGGGACGATTGGGATCACTCATGTTTTGTCAAATCAACCATACATTCCTCATTCCAAAATCTCAATTCCCGAAGTTTGCTGAGCCTAAACAAAGCCTATCTCGCACTCTGATGGTGCAAAACATTGCGACATCAAGAAAATGCACAGAATTAAGTCGGCACAACCCGGCCATCGCTCTCCAAGAACCATACCCATTGGTGGCTGAACTGGGCTTCTGCAACTGGAAATCAACCAACTCCTGACTTTCCCCTCTGGTTTTGGCAAGAAACTGGGCGTGGCTTTGATCAGGCCGTGATACTCGCTCTTTGCGTGCAGTCTGGTGCAAACTGAGCCACAAATGCAGAACTTGGCCTCGATTCCCTATACACAGGGGAACATACTTGATAAGATCAAACGCCAGGAAACCCTGATCAGCTCACCCCCTCCCCGGGGGTCCGCCTTAGCTGAGCTGAAAACCAAATCAGGCGTGCCGTTGGGACCTTTAGGACCTAACACTCAATGCCACGGAGTAAGCAATTCCACGACAGGCTCCAGAAAGTGAGAAACATGGTTGTGGAAGACAAGACTTTCTGTCATACTAAGAGACCCAACATATGAACACTTCGTGACTTTAAAAGGGGGGTTCCTTGGCATCAGAGAAAGTGGACAGTAGCCCCAAAATTCTGGAACCATGCCAACAAAACCAGAAACCCCCGGGCCACCGCATTGCGCCTCAGCTCGACAATCCGTCGGGCGAGGGTGTGCGGCCTCTGGAGCCCTGCGGCCGGTGACGCTTCCACCCATCCAGGTGTGTGTGTGTGCGCGTGTTTTCGGAGAGGGCGCCATCCATTGTTGCGGGGTCGTGTCGCCAAACAGCAAAACCAAGTACCGACATTCAGAACCGAGCTTGGGGCAAGGAAGCACGAACTGAATTGGGGAACCTGGAAGGCCGCGCACGGATGAGGGGAGCCGAGATTCGAAAACTGATTCCAAAACTAGCGGCGACAATGCCCCATCCATCCAATACCTTCGACTGAAAGATAATTCCCATCACCAATCAAACATAATTCAACTTCCAAATAAACTCCGAGTTGCATCCACAAAAAGAGTTGTTAAAACAATTTGTTTTTTAATGTTCCGAGATTGTAAATAGTCTTCCTCCAGTTTACTTGCACTTCCAATCATTAAGTGATACCAAGAAGAGAAGCAAAGCTTGCAAACTCTCCCGCAGCACGTGTGGCTCGCCCAGAACCACTTTGCTACACTTCCTGGTCTCTTTTTCAGCCTCATATGGGGTTCAGGTTTAGGGTTTAACTTGCCCTCAAACCCCCGCCCCCCCCCCCGATTAGGGTATAGTTTTCGGCTTCACTTGCCCCCAGACCGCCCTCAGGTTAAGGCTTAAGGTTTAAAAGTTCTTGCCCTCAAACCACCCGATTAGGGTTTAGTCTTCGGGTTTAACCTGCATTCAAGCCCTCACTTTAGGGTTCAGGTTTAGGGTTCAGGTTTAGGGTTCAGGTTTAGGGGTTTTGTTGCCCTCAAACCACTTGTTAATGGTTTAGTCTTGGGGTTGAACTTGCCCTCAAACCCTCACTTTAGGGTGGAGAGCTTCACTTGTCACCTTTTAACTTCTGAGAAATGATTTGCTATCTTCAAACCCTCACTTTAAGGTTCAGGTTTAGGGTTGAGGTTTAGGGGTTTTCTTGCCCTCAAACCACTCGTTAATGGTTTAGTCTTGGGGTTGAACTTGCCCTCAAACCCTCACTTTAGGGCGGAGAGCTTCCCTTGTCACCTTTTAACTTCTGAGAAATGATTTGCTATCTTCAAACCCTCACTTTAAGGTTCAGGTTTAGGGTTCAGGTTTAGGGGTTTTCTTGCCCTCAAACCACTCGTTCATGGTTTAGTCTTGGGGTTGAACTTGCCCTCAAACCCTCACTTTAGGGCGGAGAGCTTCACTTGTCACCTTTTAACTTCTGGCTGAGCCTAGAATTAGTCCACAAAAATGCGCATAGTGCCCCGCACCCTGCGCAGTTGCGCGCATCGGCAAAGGCTTGCCGATGTTTGAAGGGCAGACTGTTCGATCAGGCGCGGGCGCTAAACGCTGGCAGGCGCAAGGGAATCTGGGCGCCCCGGGAGAGAGTCTCCGGGCAAACCGCAAGCGCTGGCCAAACAAATTCGTTTTTCAGTTCATATAAAGCCGCCAAAATTCAATCAAACTTAATGACATTGACATTGATTCCCAACATATTTTCGAAAGTTCGGCCAATATTCACGTCTCCAAGTTCTCTAGCGGCTGCCGCCCAGCCAATACAACGTAAGACGTGTGTTTGCAGCTGTTTTCTTGTCTTCAGTGAGTCGGCGCAAAGCTTCAAGACAATAGCGGGCCTCTTATGTCTCGGCCAATTCAGCTTGGACTTGCTGCTTCTGACACTGTGCGCGGACAGCCTAGCCTTGGTCACCGTCTCCGAGCTTTCCAACAGCGCCTGTCAGCTGGCTTCTTAGCCCGCAGTGGACAACGGGGTGCGCCTGACGCCTTGCTGCGCCTGGCTGCAGGGAAGCAAGCAAGAGGCGGAGCGTGCGGATCTCAGTCAACGGGTAGGCTGAGCGCATCACGGCGGGCTTGTGCAGCGCAAAAACGCCGACGGAAACACTTCCTCAGCGCCATCTTTCCCCAGCCCAACTTCAAAAACAGCGCGCGCAAACTGACTTCCACCTGGGGCGAGATGTCCGAGAATCCGAGAGTTTCCAGAAGTGATAACCAGCTCGCAGGGCTGTTTTGCCGCGCCGCTGCTGCGCCCCAAGCTCTGGAACACAGCGGGCAGTGACTCTGACGCTGTCATGCTTGAAACGCACCCCGACGATGCAATTTGAACTTGCATTGTCACGGCACCCTCTCTGATGCCTTGCATTGCTGCAAGCACGTCCTCGGGCCCGAGGTCGCCGCCCACGGCTGACAGGTACGGGTGGCGCCCATACACTGCCCCATAGGCCGAGACCCCACTGCCAGAGGTCAGGCATGGACCTCAGCAAACACTGTAATTATTTGGGATATCAGTGTTTTGTCCATTCCAATCGATGATCTGAAGCAATCAGGTCCAGGAGCCGCCTCGTGGCGCTTTGCACCACGAAAATGGGTGCATTAGCCAATCGAGCGATGTTGGCCACCAATTCTTCTAGGCCCCACAAAATAGGCATTCCTGAGCAGGGTAGGGGTGACCAATAATTACCCCTCATTGCGTCCTTTGGGTATCCATCTACAAAATATGGAGACCTGAAGCTCATGTTGTTTCAATCCAAGAAATCTTGTTCGCGTCGACAGAAATCGCAGAAATGGACGGGTCGCCCCGAAAAGGCAGCCAAGCTTCTCGTTTTGGCTAAACCCACCCCAAACCAACCCGAAGCCCAGCCTAAACCAACCCTAAACCCCTGATCCGACCAAACCAACCCCAACCGACCCCACGCCAGCCTTAAACCGCCCGAATACAACCCTAAACCAAACCTAAACCGACCTGAAACCAACCACAAACCAATCCCAAACCCAAACCACGCCTAAACTACTCCTAAACTAACCTAAACCCGCCCTTCACCAGCCCGGAGCCCATCCTAAGTCGATCCTAAGCCAACCCTAAACCAACCCCTCACAGCTTGCACTACGCAGTTTACCAATCCACGTTTCATCAACTTCCGAATCCTAGTTTTGGAATCTTTGCCGGTTTCGCAATGCCATCCTGGTTTCTGAATCCTAGCCAGTTTTGGAATCGGATCTGTTCGACCTAGAGCCCCCAGCCTTGCCCTGGGCCCCTGGGAAAAGAAACCAAAGGCAGGATCAACTTCAAAGGATAGGAATCCAACACAAGGGATTCCAAACAATCCCGGGTTGGGGGTCGTTCTCATGCAAACCCCCACGGCGCACATTTGCCAAGACCAAGCCGGAGAGGCACCCGTCCAACTAGCTAGTAACCAGGGCACCAGCTAAAGCCTTCAAGGAGTCCGCGACCACTTCCAGACCCTTTCGTTGACCCTTCCAGCAAAGCCCAACCCCTTCACCCCCTTCAGAAGATCCCCCGCCATCTCTTCACGCTCGGAACCCCTGCCCCTTCAAACTCCGCGCGCCTCTGACTCGCGGGCGGACTTCCGCATGCGCCTCAAGCGCTCCTGCGACGAAGGGCAGGGACTGCTTTTGCCCTTGACGGCGTACGTGCTCCAAGCTCAGCAAAGATTGAACTGTCATACAAGCAAAACAGGTAATGGGCAAGCCAATCAAAGAGATGCTGCGCAGCACCCCGGTGGTAGCCGGGTGTTGATATTTTCTTTGGGATATCAGTGAGCAAGCATAGTTGAATCGGGATGGAGCCAACAGACTAGGATGTCAGAAAACAGCCAGCCACTTGCTGGGCACCACACGGTTCACGTCTCAGGGTCTGAAAAATAAAACTGGCAATTCGCCTTGCCCCTGACAACCACCAAGAAGATCTGAGATAAATCCGGAAAGGCCACATGGTGGTACCGTTACCGCCCCGCCTTCTTGCTGGGCCGGCGCAGGGGCGCCCGATGGCTCGGCGCGTGGCAGAACTCGCAGTCCTCGCGCTTTTGCGCAAGGCGCGCGAGGTGTGTCATGTTTAAAGTCTGGGTGTTTTGGACGAGTTTGTCCGAATTTGGGGGCGAGCTTTGAGAAGCGTGTTCCTTGGAAAGGAGGCTTGGCTTGCTTGGGAGGGGGGGGGGGGAGACTTTAGATAGTCGTTGCAGATTGAGGCTGGAGGAGAGAAAGAACGCTTGTGTCTCACCGCTTGACAAAAAGACATGTCCAGGGCTCAGATTTGCCTGAGTGACTGCTAGCCTTGGCTGCAAAAAGGCAAATCGTGCAAGGTTTGCCTGGGGGTTACAAGACTTTGGGGGGGAAGGGACAAACCAGTTCTCTGGGCCATTTTTCGATCAGACACCACCAGCATGATTGTTGACATCAGACTCTCGCCTCGACGTCACCTAGCCAAGCCCTTTCCGAGCGAGCCTCCCCTGACCGGCAGATGCCGCGGGGTGCAAAGCTGCAGGGCTTGCAAAGCTCCGCCTAGCGGGCGGAGTCGGCGGAAAAACCTCATGCAGAAGCTGGAAGACGCGCGTGATGCTTTGCGGGGGTCGGAAGGGCTCAAGTCGGACACTCAAACGCGTCTGACCATGCCAAATCCCGTACCCCCAATGAACACCCCAATCCCCACTATGCACCTACTCCAAAATGGACCGTTGGGAGTCAAAGGCCCTTCGCTGGCTGATGACCTCCAGGGCCACCGGTCATGCGTTCAAGTACGGAGGTGCTGTTTCAGGGATTGTCACCCAAGGGAGGATGGCATGTTGGGAACGCGGCTGAGAGGTGCAACCAGCCGGTCTAAGGCTTTGGGATCAGGGCCTTTCTTGCTCAAGGCGTTTCCCAGTCTGTCGAAGACGACCCCCAACATCATGTCCCTTTGCCTTTGCCTTCAATCTTTGGCTTCCATTGAAACCACCCAGGGAGTACCATCCAGAAAACACAGACCCACCCCAGCGCCCCACCCCAACACCGCTTTCAAAATAGCTGCAGCCAGAGGGGCGCTGTGAGCAGCCCACCACTGGGGCGCAACCCACATCCTGCCGGGCTGCAGACTGCCCCAACTGGTTGGTGTCTTTTTCACGACCGAACAATTGGTGCGCGCGAGGAAACGCCCGACTCATGCCATAAGGTCTTGCGCTCCATGAATGGCAGACGAGAGGCGCACATGCGAAGATGTACACAGCCATGTAAGAATCAGCCGGCCGAGCCGGGTGCTGCAACCACTATTGAAATGGGAAATGGGAACGGGTCAAACCCAAATCGGTGCGGCTCCCTCGCGAGCGACCGGGCCTGTGGTTTTGGAGGCTTTGCCCCAGGGTTGCCAGCCGCAGGTTGGGCAGGCGCGGCCACAGCGAGACACGCTCCTGGCAAATCACCACGTCAACGAATCGCAGCCGGAGCGAGTCTTAGAATGATGGTATGTGCCATACGTGTTTCGCAAAGCCCGGGTTTCAGACCTCCACCGCAAGTGGGACGGCTTTCTCTGAATGCATCCACTCGTTCGGGCACTCAGATCCCGTTCCAGCGCCCGAGGAACCGGGGCTTCCAAGCAGATCCAACGCTGCAGTTGGAAGAGTTCGATATAGGGAGGCAAGTTTGCACTGGCCTGGGTGGTGCCTTGACATATCTTGAGCAAGGCTCTGCCCTTAAAATACGCCACACATCAAGCAAGCAAGGGTCTGAAGCTTCCTGTGAGGCAGCGTGGCTGTGCCTCGCTCTTCGAATATTCTCTGGAGAGATGAGGAAACTGAAGGCATGCTCAAAAGCACCAACTTGATGATCCACAGACCGCTTGCTTGTCTCTGCCAAGGAGGCGTTCCCTCAAAGAATGCGGCCCCTTGATGACATTCAAACAAGACGCCCCGTGTGCAAACCCGCTACAACAAAACACGACCCCATGGGCATTAAAGAAAACAAGCCCTTGAATCGAATGTTGGAAGAAGAGCCTCTCCCAGCCCAACCGAAAAAAACACCAAGCCACCTCAAAAACTTACCCCAAAAAAAGAAAGACATGAAACCACCAAACAACCAACCCTGGCAGGTTCCTCCCAAATGCTCTGCAGGTTGCTGGGCAGGTCCGCCATGAGCTGCCTCGGGCTTCGGCCCGGAGAAGGGGCAAGCTCCATGGAGCACAGGGGCGCGAGAAAAGAAGAAGAAGAAGAAAAAGAAAGCGGGACCCAAACTTCTGTGTTTCCTTTTGGCATCCCTTCAACACCACCCACAAAAGGGAGTACCCTCAAAAAACAAACATATATGTGTCTGTCTCAAAAAGAAAACAACGACCTACACTAGGTTGATCCTGTCTCCGTCCGATGAGACCCAAGAGTTCTTTTTAAAAAAAAACTGGCTGGCTTTTGGTGTCCCGAAGGCAAGCTTTCTGGGGTACCCTCATGAACGGACACGTCAACATGTTTGGGCCTGGCCAAAAACAAATGGAACCACTTCGGGGTGTTTGAAAGCGACAAAATACCAAGCACCATTTTTTTCGGACCCTTTTCAGGACACATCCAGGTGTCAAACACTCTTGAAAAAGAAGCGCTCTGCGCTGGTTCCCAGGGGAGATAGCCGGAGATTGCACACCTGCAAATGAAGGGCAAGGATAGCTTAGTGTATTCACAACAATCTACAATAATCGTAAGGAAATCAAAAGTAGCTTCCAGTTAGCTTCCTGCCTGTCCAGTGTTCCTCAAGAAAGCGAACTCAAGGGGGACGTCCGTCTTTTGACAAGATCCCTTTGAACCGTGCCAGTCCACCTTTGACCTCCTTCCAAGTGCACACCCGAGGGGGTACGCTTCACATGTTCCTCGGGATAAGATGCGAATCCCCAGGTTCGCTCCCGGTCGGGAGCAGCTGGTTCGCCCATTTCAACCTCAAACGCAACCGTGGGTTCTCATGGTTTCCTTTTTGCACCGAGTTTTGAGTCTGGTTGAAACGAAGGCTCAACGAGGGCAGTTTGGCTGAGCTCGGGGCTCAAACTTGTGGGTCACCGTGAGGAAATGCTGCAGCTCCAACATGTCCTCACGACATGCGCCCGGCTCTTTCTCGACTCAAGGTGGGGTCGAAGTTCCTCTCGCTGAGACTGAAGGGGGTGAAACGGCCATGGCTCAAAAACCCGTACCCCCAGCGAACATCCCAATCCCAGTACCATTCCTGAGTGCTACCTTTTTGGAAAGCAGACTGCCGTGTGAGCTTCCACTGCGGGTTCCTTGTCACAGAATGATGGCTATGCTTCCAAGCCCACAGCATTTGTCCAGCAATCATGCAGACATCATGTGTACATATATATATATATATGTATACACTTGTATGAAAATATATATATATATTTTTTTTTCTTTAGAGAGAGAGAGAGAGAGAGAGAGAAAGATCTTGTTCTGAAGAGTAGTAATCCAGCGGACAATTCCGGGAGATCTTGAAAACCACGCCCGAAGCCTTCCAGGGGTCCTATCTTTGGGGGCGTTTCCAGATTCGCCCGTTGCCAACGTTGAGGACAGGAGCCACTCGCTGTGTCCCCTGGAAATCCACAGGCCAACAGCAACAGCAAAGCAGCTTCAACAGGGGTTCTTGCATCCACCTGAACATTGTCCACCCCCCGCCCCCCCGCCCCCCGAATTAAGCAAAGAATAGAATGGAGTTGCTTACTCTTGGTCCGGTGAAAAAGGCCATGCTTTACTGCCCTCAGATCCCCCGCTAAGTTTAACTTTTAGTGGGTCAAATGGAAAGTACCGTGGGCTAAACTTTAGACTAAAGGGCTAAAAGGCTAAGGAACCGGATGGCTGGGAGCCACCAAGTTTCATGGCCCACACGGTTTCGAATCCTCCGCAAAAAGGGCGGAAGCAGCGGCTCCGGCTCCACTTGCCGGTCCTGTCTGGGGTAAAAGAGCCCGTGAGGCCTCATGGCCTCGAGCTTGGAAATGGCCTCAGCGCATCGGATCGCGGCCCGAAAAGAGCGAGGGGCTCGGCCATGGCTGGCTTTGGTTGTCTTCATCCCACCATTCATCACGCTGGTTCTTCATACATTAGTCATCCCACATTAATCAAGATTAAGAACCCTAATCATCCTGGGTTGGTCCAACATTGATCATTCCACATTCATCAACCAACCTGGTTCTTCATAGAGGGCTGGGAGAAAACCCCTCCGAAAGCGATCATACACTAGACACCTGCACACTAACGTGGGCAACCTGGTCGTCTTTTGGAGGTGAGAGAGGTGCTTGGGCGTAACGTCCTCAAGTCGCAAGTACGGTGCAGCAACTGTATGAGAATCCGGTGCAAGAGAATCTGAGACTCTGGGCGTCCCGGATGCCTTATGCAAAGCATTGCTGGCCAGCTAAGAATGCTTAGTGGGCCGCACAGATTTCTGCCCGGCTATCAAACTGAGAGACTGAGATTTGCGAGTGTTGGCCGGGACCCTAGGAATCCAGGCACGAACAAATGCTCCAACACTTACGGTCTGGCAAAACAAGCAGCCGATCACGTTCCGAATCGGACACTTGAACGAAAGGACGCGAAAGGCATATCTACCAAGCCAAAGGATTGCACCATCCCTTTGGTACTTCCCCTTGGCGTCTGGTTGGCTAGCCATCCAATTAAAAAACAAGCATTCAAATTTACGAACCTGTCCACATGAATCCCACTAAACTCCCACCTGCAATGTCTGACAAAGCTTCATGTTGCCCGGGGAGTTCCAGATCCGCCCCACCAACATGCGCAATCGTCGCCAGCCCGGCCTTTTCGAGTACCTCAGCATCGTCGGGCACGCCCAGAAAGCGCGCGAGGCCTTGACAGGGCCGGACGCGGCGTGGGAAAGGCAAGAAAGAACCGTGGATCACCGCGACCATTTGAGCAAAACACCATATTTGGCCATGGGTCAAAAGCCCGGTTACCCACCAGTGAACATCCAAATCCCCACTAAAATAGAACAAATGGGTGGTGCACCTACCCCCAAATGGTACCATTGGTTTTGACCCACAGCCATTTGACGCAGGCAGTGATGAAGAGATCATGAAAGCAATACTTGTGTCAAACAAATCGGGACGCTCATGTGTCCGACTCACACAACTGGGCCCACCCACGTCAGGAGCAATTGTCTGGTAGGGAAGAACAAGCATTGTCATGATTCAGATCATCGACTGTGTGGAATGCCTTACCTTTGAAAATTGCACTTCTCAGAGTATCTGCCACAATGGCGAGCGTCCAAACAGGCAAAGCCCTGAAGGCGAAGAGCACCCACTTGGCCAACAAAATGCTGCTCAAAACAACAAGAGACGCAGTTGGTGCGTGCCACACCAAAAAGATGGACCACACACCCCTGGCTTCGAAACCATTGCTGGCAGCATTCCAGGCGCTTTCGCTCTCCCAAACCGATGCACGACACAAACTTCTGTAGCCCAAATGAATTGCTGGGGTCTTTGGTAGAGGAAGTCCACAGCCATTGGTGTGGAAATCAACAGTCGGTCTTCAAAGGGTACTGAAGAGGTTCTACGGCCAAAGCGATTATACAACTATCTCCACACAAAAGGTTCCAATCACAGCTGTGCGTGTGCCTGCCTGTGTTTTTTTGGGGTTTCCAGGTGAACATGTTGCCGAGCAAAAAACTGGACCGCCCTCTGCGTTTTGGTCGTGTTTTCTGGGCGGTCGCCTCTCAAAGCCACGTCCGGCTCAGCCACGAAGTCCTCCACAAAGAAGATCTTCACCTTGTCCGGCTGCCTGGCACTCGGGTCTCATCGGCAGAGCTCTCCCTTAGGAACCTTTGGAATAGGAGAAACACCTTGAGGTTCATGGCCAGCCCTACCAAAGTAACTCGGGTGTTTTGACCACATGTGTTTTTTTAGTAAGCCAAGAGGCGTTTTGACCACAGTTGTGTGTCTGACAACTGGCCCCAGCCATCCGCAGCTTACCGCAGATCTCTCGTGCGGTTCCATGACTTCCTTTGCGCTCAAAAAAAAAACAACTGCCGTGGCAAACACAGGTGGGCTGACCCATGGCACGCTTCCCGGGGATTTTTGACCATTGCCTGCGGGCACCTGAACTGAATAGGTGCGAATCGAAAAGGGCCATGCCAGACCGCACCCTCTGCTGCGGGATGTGTTTGTCCCATTCCGCGCCACATGCAGATCGGGTTTTCGGGAGCTCTGATTTGCAGCCTGCCCACAAGAAAGGAGTTGAGCCCTCAAACCAATTGATGCTGACGGGTAGTTGAGCTCACCAAAATCGCCTTTTGGTCCCCAAAAAGGCGCTTCCCCTGCCCGGACGGATTTTCAGGAGCCAAACCTCACGCCTCACGCCTCGCCCCTCAGCCCTCACCCCGCCTGTACTCCTCCAGCGCCCAGCGCGCCAGGCGCGTCATCTCTTCTCCCGAGAGGCTGCAGTCCTTTCGCGCGGAAAGAGGCAAACGGATAGGTTCGGCTCAAGCCCCTGAAACGGGCGTGTTCTCTTTTGGTGACCCTTGAAAACAACAAGCGTACCATCAAAGGGATCATGCCGAAGTAACCAAGTGAACTATTGGCTCGTTGGCATATCGCCTGCTTCTTCCACAAGGCATGCTGTCGCGCAAGGGTTGCGGCCGCGAGAGGATGAGACAGCCTGCCGCCTGGAAGGAGGCTCTACCGGCAACCTGCCAAACGATCACGTTACATGCCTCCAGCCCTACAAGGATGAGCTTGCAACATCAGGCCTGGTCGGAAGTCCTGCCCTGAATCTATCACAAATACCTTGCAGCATATCAAGGCTTCTGGTGATACTTCACTTTGAGATGCAATCCCAACCTGTGCGCATTCACAGCGTGCTCGGGGGCTCCCTCCCAATGGACCTAATTACAGCTAGTGTTCCTTGCATGGTTCTTCGCCCAGTGGATGGTTCTTTGGACATGGTCTTTTATCCCTCAGGCTTCATGTTCAAAGGGGGAAGGGACATGTGGGGGCAAACTTGTTGCAGGGTCTCCTCCATCAGCACGGCCGACAGGGGAACTTAGACATTAGAAGAAACCATTGCCTGCTGCAAAAGATTTCCGATCTGTTAACAAAACAACAGCGCGCAGTAGGCTGCCTGGCAGCGCAGCATCACGCAAAAAGCAAGCACGGCTGCTACAACTGGGCAAACGTGCAATACCCCCTTTGGGACGATTCGTGCAGGGAAGCCACAGTAAAGAAGCCATGTGGCTTTGTCTCAAAATGGGCAATCCTCCCCAACAAGCGAGATGTTCTCTGAAAACTCCCTTCAAAACCACCCCAAAGCGTCCAATGTGAAGATGAGACGCACGCATCTGAGTGCCTCTTCTTTTGTAAAAGGAAACCAAAGGAAGCCTCTCTTTTTTCGGAGGGTCAATCCTTAAGAAAGACACGAAGCCCACGTTGCAGGAAGCCCACGCCGGAAGCCGCCGGTCTCAGGTCGGGCCTCTTCGAGATAGGACCGGAGGAAATCCGACTCTTGGAGTTGGAGCGTGGCGCAGCCGCATCCTTCGGGCTGCAGTTTGGTGTTTTTCTTGGTGTCTTGGTCTTGGTTACGATTTTGGCGTATATACATATCGCCTTTTTCCAAACCTTGAAACCGGATGCTTTGGAAAAGTGTACAAAATGTTCTCAAGTTGAAACATCCCAATTTGGGAGTATCCCGAGCGACTTCCTGGCACAAAAAGTGCGTGGCCGTTTTCAGGCGATAAACGAAACCCAACAGTCGCTATTGGGGAATCAAATACCAGAAGCGTGTCCCCAAACTTTGCACCCTCTCAAAATGGATTCCCCGTTGCTGGTTTGCTTTTGCGAGATCCTGGAGTTTCTAACGGTTTGGGCCATTGGTAGATGGCTATCCCCGAGACAATCAACCCAGGATTGGTCAACCCGCTGCCTTCATGGGGAGTGGCTTCCCCTATCCCGCTTGAATGGGACGCCCCGTGGGCCCTGTGAATCTACCAGGGTTTCTTAATTCCAAGACAGCAACAACCTCTGGCCAGAGTGGGCTTCTGTGCGTTTGACTCAGCTAAGCGTGCTGGCTCAATCATCGTATTCTGGGTCAATCGTATGTCAACCTGAAGCAAGGGGACTGCCTGCTCGCAATCTGCGGCACAATGTGTTCGGATGAGGTCTCATGGTGAGGTTTCAACGGATGATCACCTCTCCGTCTATGCGAAACGCATCTGGGTTTGTGGGGCGACAGCCCGAGCTTGTGCGAATCGGCGAGACGGGCGAATTGGTGCCTTCCTCGGGCCCAAAGTTGCATTGGGGAGTAGGCGTCAAATTGCGCGAAAGCCAAACGGGGGATTCTATGCATGTTGCATACATGTGTGTGTATATATGTATATACATATATATATATATATAGGTTCGTTCCTCTGTCTCTGCGCTCCCAGAGGTCCTTTCCCCTTGTCAGCGTGGCACCTCTTGAACATCTCCCACAGCTGCAGCTGCCGCATTATGAGATACCGTGGGTCGGCCAAGAAGACCTCAGGGTCCCACCGGTCTCACGGGTCTCCCTGCGCCCACTTTGCGAGACGCCCAAGGAAGTTGCCGGGCGCACTCCAAGTACCCTCTCTGGGATGGTAAGGGAAAACGATCTAAAGAGACGAACCAAGACGAAGGAAACAAAGGACGACACTCGTATCAGGTTCAGTCGAAAAAATCAGTAGTCTATGGTCAGCTTGGAAGGGACACGAGGAACTCGCAAAATTCTATCCGCAAGAACCTCGCGAACCCCAGATCTCCCCGTGCATTACACGACCAGTGGCTCATTTGTTTTTGGGAGGGGACGGAATTCAAGACCACACCCATGTTTCACGCTTCCCCTTTTGGCTGGTGTAAAAGCCTTTGGGGCCAAGACGGATGCGTTCTTTTTTGGGCTGATGTTTGAAGGGCCATACAACGAACCCCAGGCAGGCTGAAAAGACAGGGTTTTGAAGGAAAATCGAAAGGAGCCAACCATTGCTGGCCTCCCAATTTGGCGACCAACCCCAAGAATTGATCCCAAATCACCAACCTCGATTCCGGGGAGGGGTGGGGGGGCTTCCTCCAAATCCCCTCTGAAATGAGAAAGTCCCCCAATCAGGGGCGCCGTTGCAGGTTGGTTGATCCTAACCCCCCAAAGAAAAACAACTCGCGGCTTTCCTTTTTTTGGTCCCCAAAAACTCCACCACTTCCCCCGTAAAACGGGTCCTTCGTCCCAAACCACGTTCCCAACCCCCCAGATCGCCCGACGCCAGCAGGCAGCTGCCAGCGATCCCCTCGCTGGGCCCCCGGCGGCCACCTTCCCGAAGCTCTGCGGCAGCAGCCAGGGCGGCAGCAGGCTGAAGAGGCACCGCGCGCCGCTCGCCCCGCGGATGCGCACCTCCTCCGAGCTGAGCGCTGGCGGTGGAGCTGGCGGTGGAGCTGGCCGGGATTGGCCAGGGTTTGACAGTTGGAACGGGGTGAAGTTGGGGCAGAAATGGAAGGATTGGGCTGTTTTGCCGAGAAACGGGCTGGAGGTGGGCCCGTCTTTGCTGAGCGGCATGAGACATGGAAGGACCCCGTGGCTACGGCATAAGGAGATTCCTACAAGATCAAGCAGGTTTCTCTCCTGGGGTCCCGTGTTTTTGGGGGCTCCACTACGGCTCATTCCAAACAACCCTGATTAGCAAGGGTGGATGACCAACAATCCACGGGAGTCAGAGCCGCGTAAACGGTTTTGATTGGAGGATGGTTTCCTTCCAAGGCTAACTCATCGCATCATATCGGTGTCAACCAAAAGGGGCTCTCTGGACCGCGCCCTGCCTGCCCGCCTGCCCGATTCGGCTATGAAGTTTATCTGGTTGGGTCCTTTCGTGGACATCAACAAAACATGGGGTGTAATGCCATTTGCAAGGTTGTTCCTCTAAGCCAGAGATATAAACTGGTGGGTGGTCCTGGAGCATGCGGCCCTGACAGCAAAATAGAAGGCCAAGTAGCTTTTTGAGGGTTGTGGGCTGAGCAAGAGGGGCAGCAAGAGTAAGCGATGCGGCAGGTTTTAGCTCTACTGGTATGAGTGTAGAGAAAGGTATACGTAAATGTAGGTATGTGAATGTACATGTACGTGTATGTATGTGTATCTATATATGTTTGTTTGTGCGGGCATGTTTGCATGCGCGTACACGCACATGTGCACCCGTATAGAAAAAGAGAGCGCGCGAGCGAGCGAGAGAGAGAGAGAGAAGCAAAAAAGAAGAGTGAGAGAGTGACCGAGAGAGAAATTGAGAGAGAGTGAGAGAGTGAGAGAGAGGTTTCAATATGTACAGTGTACAATCTATTTCAGGAAATCACCACCGAGACCGTCGAGACCGTCTCCTTGTCATCGATCAGCTCCAGCATGCGCTCGCGGAAGGCACAAGCTCCCTGCACGGGGCCTGCGAGCGGAGCGAAGGGCTCCAAACCCATTGACCGAACCGCCCACTGAACTGGGCCGAAATGGGACTCTTGGGCTCATTTAGGCAAGGGGCCGAATGGAAAAAGACTCATCTCACCTGAACCTGGTGCCCTTTTTCTCTCATCTCCGGGACTGCCGCCGAGAAAAAAAAAAAAAAACGCGAGAAGCGGGGGGGCTCCCGCGGCTTCCGCGCGCCTGCGGGCTCCTGGGGCATGGGGTCCCCAGCCAGCTCGAAGAGGGGCTCCAGGACTTGGATGTTGGGGAAGAGCCCTGGCCATTGGGAAAGCTGAACAGCTGAAAGATCCATCCCGTTACCCCATTGGCGGAGATCCATTGGCGGAGATCCATTGGCGGAGATCCAGCCATCTTTAACCCCATTGGCTGAGACCTTTTGTTTTTAATGGCGAATGAAAAAAGGTTTAGTGGCGGAAGATCAAAATTGAGTGAGCAGAACAGTTCAATCCCTGGTCCCTGAGTCTCAGAGGCAACTTCCGGCATCCAGGCCCGGCCCCATGGCCACGGAGGTCTTGCTTTCCCAGGGCGTAACTGCGCAGCTGTCCTCCTTTCCGGACAACTGGCTGTGGGTCAAAAATCGGCACCCGAAATGGGTTGCCCTGGTAAATGGAAACATGGACTAAAACCTGCGGTCCCCGGTTGACTTAATTTTGACCCATACCGGAGTCAAGCAACTCCCTTTTTCAGGGTCTCTCTGCGAGCTGTTCCTGCGTTCTCCATAGGAGTCCACCCAAACATGTTCTCAAATCTGACGCCTTGAACTGGTGCACTGCCCAATGTCTGCGCAAGTCACCTGAGAGACGGTGGGGGGTAACAGGAGTGGTCGAAAGCCGCGCGAGCAAACGCGGCAGGGCTCGCCCGGGGACAGGGCCAGCAGCACGTCCTTCTCCCCAACTTGCCATCGCTCTTCCCTTGGCTCGGCCACCGGAGACGTCCAGATGCGATGACATGACTGTGGGAGGGGTGCCGAAGAGTTCGGGTGCAGGCAATCCATCCACTTGTGAGGGAAGATTCCTTTGAAAGGTTGTGATGGATCGGGTTGCGAGGCTGAGGGCATCTTTAGCTTCCTGCGAGCAGGCTCTTGCTGAAAGGAGTGCATGGGATGTGTTTTACCGCGTAAGAATGAATCTTGTGCGAACGAGGGCAACGGCGCACAAAGGTGCAGGCAGCAAACCTTGTTTGGCTCTGGAGTCCAAGTGCTCATTCTTCGCAGCTCAAACAATATGCCTCTCGGCAACCTCACAGTCAGCGTTCAAGACTTAAGTTGCCCTTTGCTTCATGGGAGGATGGCAAAAATGTCCACGAGGCTTCCAAGAAGGCTTCTTGTCAACTGCCTACCACATGTTCCGCTTCGAAACACAGCAGACTCATACATTAGGTCTAGGCGGATCTCTTGCCACTGGCCCCTCAAGAGAGCAATTTATAGTCAGCCAATTCAAAGTATAATCAAAAATAATTGCCCGACGAACCTCTGCGAATAGAAGAATCAACCCAGTGAGTCGTCGAAGCCACTCAGGGAAGATGGACAGATGAAGAACCCAAAAAGAGCCTTGCCCAAAGCATCAAGAAGAAGGTTCGTGCCCTTTCAAAAAAGAAATGCAATCGTCCAACTCCTGTCAGCTTCCCTGATTGCCCGAAGTGGCTGGCAAGCAAACCAAGCATAGTGCCACAACACAAACGACAATACCTGCACTGCAGAGCCAAATGAATCCCCAGGCGAGCAGCAAGTCAAAGAGCTGATCTGTCTTCAGGAAGGCCGGCAGGATCACGTCGCCAATGCGCTTGTGGGGGATACCTCTGGGCACATGCTGCACAGGTAGTGACCAACCCGCGCAAACATCGAAGCAAAGCAACATATAAAGAAAAATACTTGTATGTACATATATATATATAGCATGTATATATATATACACACATGATCTCGGTCCGGAGCCTGGTACCCCCCACCCACCCCCCGCCACCCACCCCATGCAGGGGGGCAGGGGCTTCAAGGCCCCAACTGCCGGCGCAGCTCTTCTGTCTTGCCAAAATTACAAATTGCGCTGCGCCTGCGTTGACGGGGCCCTTGACCCAATTCGAAACCGGTGGGATGTTGTGTCATTAAGGTACCCCGACAACATTCAAGCAGCCCTAGATCCTGACTGAAAAGGCAGCATTCGTACAATGAAACCCACACTCAAGTAACCCACATCCACAGGGGGGGGGGGGGGGTGCGGGCCTGGAACATATACATATCTATTTATCTGTACATAACTACTATACAGCCCCTCACCCCGCCCCCCCTCCCCCTCGCCCGCACAGACAAAAAAAACCAAAAACAAGTAAGATATGGCAAAGCGCACGAAAGCGTCCAAGCGCCCACCAAAAAGAGTTCGCAGAGCTCACACAAAGGCAACCCCTGTCAGTTCTGAAAGCTCCCACTTGCCATCCCAGGCAGAGAAACGGCAGCTATGGGTTTGCCCTGATGGCACACCTCCTTTTTAAGGGGAAGAAGGTCGAGGAGCCGGGGGTTGCAAGCTCAGCTGGCACTCTGCTGGATTCTCCCAACTCAAAAGGGAACGCTGAGAGCGAGCTCTCTCTGACAATTGCCGCCAGCTCTTGAGTCCAATGATATGCCACTGCCCAATCCCCACGGTCCAAGCGCCCCACCATATGGTTGGCAATGGATCTGCTCGTACTGCGAGATCTGCGAGAGCTCCTGTCGTTTGCTCAACCAACGAATGAAGCGCATGAACACATGTCATCCGAGTCATCCACATGTGTCGGATTGTTTCAGAGTGTGGCTGCCAGTGTGGCTTCCTAGTATGGAAAACAAACTATTCAAGGATTGTCGTAATGCAAACCTGAGGGTGTACCACTAGAAGCAGAACATGTTATTTGGAAAGAAGGCCCCGAAATAGGTAGGGTTGCCCGGCCGGGGAGTAAAGGGTACATTACATAATACACTTTGAAGATATAAACTTTGGAGAATCAGTGGGTCCTGGTCCACTATCTTCAACACGAAGCGCATCTATAGCATCCTTGCCCGATACCACTCCTCTTTTACCAACCGTCAGCATATTCATCGTTCGGCGATCGTCTCCTTTTCCAGTAAAACAAAAGGGAGACGGCGTGTTACGGGGCTCCCTCCGACAAACCCACGAGCCTTCCTCAAGTTGTCAAGCCTCAAGCGCAGCTCGTCCCTCTCTCAATCCCATCGCAACCACGCCATGCATTCCCTAGTCCATGCCTCATGACAGCATGGGCCCGTCAAAAGTGCTGGCTTGACACTCCTTGCTGACTCTGACCCAATGCCAATCTTTGGCTTTCACATGCCTACTGCATGCTATGAAACAAAACAGACCACAACAATACAGGAGGCTGTTTCAACCCTGAAACCCTGAAATGTTGGAAACTTCCTCAGTCCTCCCTCCGGCCTTTCACAGTGGTCCACAAAAAATACTTATCTTCCCCGCTTAGCTACCACCAAGGGGTTCGCCTTGCCGATACTGTGGCTGGACAAAACCCAATTCGCACCACCGTTCAGAAACCCTAGTTTCTGATTCGATTCCCCAACGCAACCACCACTAAACATGTTTGTTCCATGGTCTCCAAGTGGATTTCCCATGGTCTCCAAGTGGTTTTCCCATCGTTTCCCCCTGTTTGTCCCATGGTTCCCCTGGTTTTCATGGGTTTCCCCCTGGCTTTCCCATGGTTTCCATTCCTTTCGCTCTCAGATTTCTCCCTCAGCCCCTCTCGCTCCAGCGCCGCCGGGGTCTTGTCCAGGCGCTCCACTTTCGGCTCCCGGCGCCCGGAGTTGGGTCGCGACTGGCGAAGAGCGAACCGCTCCCCCGACCGCTCACGCGAGCGGTATGAGCGCTCGCGCGGAGCGAGCCAGGGGGGCTCTGTTGAGTATCTTCTGTTTTTTTCCTTTTTGTGCGGGGGTTGGCCACATCCAGAATGGTTTTGACGTTTTATCTTGCGATCGGTGCGAAATCGGTAGGGAATGAGAAATGGAATGAAGCGTTTGGGATCCTCAGTTGGAGTTTGTTTTTTGTTTTTTCGTCATGACCAATTTGTCTTTCCCTGAGCACGGCAAGTTATGTGTTAGCCCCAGGCAAGAGGAAACTCGGTCAAACTAAGAAATCGGGTGGTCTCTGTGGATGGCTTGGGAAGGTCGTTCCGCATTCTCATCATTTGTCATCTCGGTGGCTAACATGTGGGAAGCGGCGTCGCAATGTTGGCCTCTTCGAAACCATTGGGATTCATCAGCTGATTCCTGGAATTGGGCTGAGAAAGCCACTGCACCCCTTTGCCTTCTCGATCTAAGTGTTCCGAAGGCAGAGCATAAGCAAGCAAGACGCAGCAAGCCAACAAGAATCTGGTACGAATGTCGGATCAAGGTGAAGAAATGAGCCCCAGGCCAAGATTCTGTTGATTCCGTGTATGTTAGCTGGATATATGAAAAACATATCGAGAAGCAGCGCATGGAAGAACATCTAGCTGCCCGCTGTGTGTTCAACTGAAAGACGATCAGTTCCTGCAACGGCGTAACCCCCTCAGGATCAAGCAAGCATTCTACAAGCACATCGATCCATCACGTTTCATGCCGCATGTGGAGCTCATTATACCGTGCGCATGTCCGAAGCTGGAAGATTTGTTGTGTACAATCCACACATTTCTGAGGTATTCATAATGGCATGTGCTGGCGAAGAAGGTGTGGTGGGATGCTGGCGGCGAAAAAGTTGACTGTCACATATGTATGTCTCTTGATTATTCACCCAAACAACTACTAACGGCACCAACTCTGATTCACGCTGTTGTAATCTAGATTGAGACTGCGTTGGCGGCTCACGTTTCGATTTTCTTTAAAGCCACGGAACATGTCACATTGGCTCTCGATCCTAGGTGGTGTTGACCAAAGCTGATCCTCGTATCGTTGTGTGCCGTTCTGATTGTCAACATTATTTTATTTTGTTGTTTAATGTTTTATATGTTTTTTATTTTTATTTTTTATTTTTTTTTAAAAAAAAATAATAAAATATATATATATATATATATATATTTGTGTGTTTTTTTCTTTAAGAGAAAACACAAAAACCGCTTGGGCAGCTTCAACTGCATTCATTCTGTCCTCGCAAGGGATGGACATGGTTCAACTAACGATCTTGGACTTGCTTCAACCAGCTTGGACTTGCTTGAAAGCTTGAAAGTTGTTGCTAGCATTCAAAATTCATTGCCTTTACACTCAAGCAAGCTGGGCACTTGCAGCAAGGATGGACAGCTTGGGACAAAAAGAACTATTCCCAACGTGCTCCATCTGTATCATCAGCTTTGCTGCGCCAGTCCCGACTGCTCCTAAAATAGACGTCCCCTCCTCGAATGCCCAAAATGGCTGTGGCTCAAATAAATGAGCACCAGAACGGCACCAAAAGGTAACTGGAACCAAAGACCAAACCTGCGGAGCCACACCCCTTGATCCCTCCATTCGACTTACCCTCCATGGAACCGATTCAGCCTCCTCGAGGTGCACCATGGCGGAAAAGAGCGCTTTCTTCAACCAAAACGGCCGAGCCGGCGGTTAGATGTTTCTCTCAGAGATGCAACCCACCCACCCCAAGAAATGGTGAGCTCAAAGCCTCAAAAGAGGATTACCAGCATGGTGTGTTGTGCTTGGACCTTTTTCATGAAAAGCTACCCCCAAAACGGGCATCAACCAGAAGGCACAAGGCCTTTGCGCCCCTCCGTCTGAGGTTCTGTCTTGACAAGAGTTCCGGCGGCCGATTTGTTGTTGAACCATAGACCTTTCTGCTTCGTGGAGTCTGCAGTTTGTGATTCAAGAACGGGACTACGTTTCCTTTCTACGAAAGATCCCAGCTTCCTGCCAGGGTCCTAGGAGCAAGCTTAAAGCACAGAAGAGCTCTGCGGCGCATCTGCCTCTCAGGAGTCTTGTTTTGAAGGCGTTCAGGTGCCAAACTGCGGGAAATGAGTTGAGGCCAACTGCCCGTTGATCCACTCGGCACTTCTTAAACCATTCTGGGCATGGGCTTGCTTGACAGGTGTTGTGCTTATCTAAGGCTGCGCATTCTGATCTTAGGCTGCCACGAGAGGTCCGTGCCGAGGGCAGACTGGGCGCAGGGCGCAGATTGTTGTTGAAGGACTTGAAGCTGGTTTCAACCAAGACTTCCCCCTTGTTGGGGCTCCCTTCTTTTGGAGTCAAGCCCATATTCGCGCAGCGATTCATGTATGAGACGTGGGGCCAATGTCCATTCAGGGGCAGAAACTGTGGCCATGGCCGGCAAGCTCACATGGGTGCCTGACTGACTGACTCAAAGCATCAAGTTGTGAAGTCGGCAGAAGGCCTCGCACCTTTTGAAGCCAAACAGTTGATGTCCCAACACAAAACGTGAATCGGCCATGATCTTCGATCACCTTGGTTTGTGTTGGTGGTTTGGGTCGGTGAGGATCTGGCAGTTGCAAATACCAAAATCACCAATCAAAACCACCGACTCGGGGTAAGGTGAAAGGAAGCGGATTTCATGAGGCATCCAGGCAAATCTACGGCAAAGGCCTTGGCCAAAGCAACCTCTGATCTTCAAACATCATTTCAGAGCAACCTGCGCATGAAATGAACAAACTCGACCCAACCAAACAAGAAACGACCGAGCCCAAAGATTACAGGACAGCAGGAAAAACTCATCAGCAAAAGCAGAAGGCAAAACAGAAGGAAAAACAGAAGGCAAGGCAAAAGGCAACACAAAGGAAACGGAGGACGCACGGAGAATCACCCGGAACAAGGGAAAGGAACACTTTGCCTCGGTGTCCTTGATCTCCTGCTTCTTGATGGCACGCTCCTCATCGGCGTTCGCCTGAAAGAAAAAAAGTCATATAGCTCGGTAAGGCGCTGGCTCCAGCCGTGGATGCGTGAAAACCCAAATGGATGTGTGCGCGTTTGTGTGCGTTTGTCTGTTTTTTGAGGGTTGCCCTGTTCAGGTCCACAGTCCAACCAGTCAGGCCGGCAACGCATGTCAGATCTCTACCAGCTTGGAAAGAAACAAACATGTGATTTGTTGTGTGTAGATGTCACTGATCGACGGCGGCGAGCACGGCTTTTACACAAGCATCTGCATCTAGACACGCCTTGATCACTTAGAGATCAACCGTGTCTGCGAAAGAGAGCACTGCTCTCAGAAAGTTCCTATGATTGTCTTTGCCCTTCATAAGTACAATGGGGCGTGCGCGAATCATGGCCGTAATCAGATCCAGCATTCTGACTGGCTCCCCGCTCTTTGTCTGGAGATATGTGAATGCTAGAGCAGCTGCTGCGGAGCGGTTCCGGCCGCCGTAGCAATGGAACAGAATGTTCACATTCGCTGGGGGCTCGGGGCGGCTGCGCAGGGCCTCCATATGATTCCGCAGAGATCGAATCACGCGGGGGAAGTGGCGCTCAATCGCGTTCCAACGCTCATCTGCTGTTGCCTCCTCAACGTATTGGATTCCCAGTTGCCTGTAAAAGGCAGCTTGGTCTTGCATGTACTCCTCCTCCACTTTCAGCTGGAAGTCCTCCGAAATTGAATTGTGAAACATGCTCTTGTAGCGTGAGTTTGTTTTATCTGCATCCCAGTGATAACGTGGGCCCCACAAACATCTGCGTTGATCCATCAGATTTGCGGCCCCCATCATGTTGACGACAATGTGAATATTGTTGCTCTGCAAGACCGCCGCATTCATGGCGGTGTACATGTCGGACACAAAAATGGCTGTACCAGCAGTGGTGAAGATCCGGTCGCAATCCTTACACGAATACCAGTCACGTTGAGCGCGGGGAATGCTGGCCCTGAGTTCTGTCAGCAAACTGTCAACCTCATCGATTGTCGGCGGCATCATGCGCAATGAAGATAGCACACTACGTTCATTGAGCCAGACTGGATTTGGAGCGCATTCCCAAGGAAGCGGTGCCAAACTATCTACAAGGCGCTGCCCCTGTTCAATCATTGCAGGCTAAATAGATGGCCATTGTAAAATTAATCTATGGGGCCGCTGCGAGTCATCACACGCAACTTATCACCGGTAAAATGAGCCTTGTTGAAGGGCGCACCCACGACCCACCGAGCAATTTATTCAATTAGCATAAACCAAGAGGCATAGTGCAAATGGTCATCGGAGCAAGTACGACCCAACTCGCATGATCTCTTGCTTGCCTACCCCACAGGTGTTCTGGGCGACAAGGCCCCTTCACATCAAAATGGCAAGGGATTCAATCGCCAAACTTCATGGTGCTAGATGTATTGCGAAGAGCTTCTTCGTTCAATGCATCTCTGTCCAAGACTCAAATGCCTGCCCTGTAAGGTCAAACGAACATCTGCAACCTGAATTTGCCAAGCCTTCTGATGGAACAGGGAGACCAATTCATCGCCCGCATTTGCAAATTAGCTGCCCAGAAAGTTGGTGACATTGCATCACCATACCAACGGTGTCAACACACCATGGCAACGGTGGCAAGTCAACACTCCAGTCTAAGCCAACGTCCTTTCAACAGTTGGGGCTGCGTGACCCTTGTTCAAAGAGAGCCCAAAGGCATGGTGTCTTGCCACACACAAAAAGGGAAATGGCAGCCCCACCAAGCAAACAGGGCAACCACCCAAATTGGAGGAAAAAACAATTGAGGGAAGAAGAAAAAAAACGATTTCTTTCATGGGCAACCTGCTCAACAGAGGCGGGCCTCGCCTTCTCCTCTTTCTTGGTCTCGATCTGCTTGATGCCTGCCTTGATCTCCTCGGTCTTGGCGGCAGCCAACTCCTGAAGCGCTCGGCTTGCGGCTTGCGGGTCTGGTGCTCTGGGCTTGCTGTATGTATGTGTGTGTGTGCATCGTTCTTTATGCGTGCTGTATATAACTGTGTACACAAGAATAAAAGCAAACAGTACTTTTATAGAAGCAGCATATACGAAGGGTCCTTAGAAAGCACCGGGCACTCGTTGAGATTTGTAGGAAAAGGGAGAGGAGTACTTGAAGATTTGTGCACCTTTCAATGCTGACAGAAAGTTCTTTAATGCATGTTTGTTTGGGGCCATCTGCAAGGAACGCCATGCGCCTATCTAGTGTCAACCTTGAAGCATTCGTTTGGGACCTACTTGGTTGTCAAGAACTCCAGCATTGTGGCAATAACAGCTATCGACATGAACAATAACAGTTGCTGGACCCCTGCCAACCAATTATCCAGTTGATTTTTTCTTGCATCAATTCCCTGCAATGCTGCATCCTACTCAAACTTTCAACTTCAAGACTCTACTTGCAAACAATAACTCTATCCGGGCTGGATGTGTTTCGTGCACTGGAAGCTCCACCAAATGATCCATGAATCTTCTGAGTAATCGTACTGTGCGCACAGCAAGCTATGGCAATGTTGCAGGAGTAGGTCTCTCCGTCTACAGCTGTTGTTCGAAGGAGCAAGTTGGCAGTGATGCAAGATGATGAAGATGAGAGGTGCTCTGACTGCCACAGACCCGCTGCTCAATCCCGCGGTGCGTATGACCTTGGCCATGTTACCCACCATACTTCTCGAAGCTTCGGAAGGTGTGCATGTTCAGCAGCCATCGCACTTTTGCTGGTGCGCCCTACAATATCCGCATATCTCCTAGGTCTTGCCTTTGCCAGGCGTTTGCGGAGGGTCTCCGGGGACAGAACACTCAGCACAGAAAAGCTTAGATCGGTTGGTTGGCAGCCATTACGCATCTCCTCTTAGCAAGTTCCTGCCCTCCTGCATTTCTTGAAAAGTGCCAAGCCCTTCCAATCCACGCTTTCCACCATTCCCCCCTTTGCGCCACTTTGAAATCAAACCGCGCTCCATTCCTCAACTGGATGGACTTCGATGAGCGGCTGCCCGTCCCCTGGCTTTGGGCAAATTACTCTAAAACTCACCAAGTGTCGCCAACAAGAGCTCTAAGATCCTCAAGTAGACGCCTTCAGGAGTTGTTGCTCGGTTCCCCCCCCTCCCCCCCCCCCCCGCATCGGCGGCAGGAAATCCCGAATGGATTTTCCAGGGCGCTAGAAAAACCGACGGGCGGTCCCCCCTTCTGTGCCTCGAACTGCTTCAGGGAGGTGGCCTCATCCTCCTTCAGCTTGCCCAGCTCAGCGGAGAAGTCGTCCTAGCCGCTCGCCAAGTCTCAGAATTCAGCTTCCCTTTGATTCGTGGTTTGGATTCGTGGTTTGAATTAGTGGTTTGGTGGTTAAGGAGGAGTCGTCCATCTACCCCGAACCACCAACTAAGGGTTGCCTGAACAGTTGGATCCTTCCACAGTTGTGGTAAACAGTCCAAGCAACACATGAAATGCTACCGGAACCCCAAGTAACAAGAATCAAAACCTCCCTTGACCTCCGACTCAGTGAGCTCGCTGATGCGAATGGGCAGAATAGATGAAGCTTGAAAGGTCTTGTTGGAAGAAGAACCAGGGCGCAATGCAAGAAATCCCAACGCGGCTTTATCACCCTGCCAAGGGAAACTTAATTTAAATGGGCCAAAGAGGTGATATGTGAAACGTAGGGACCTCTGCACAATGTGGAGTGTGGAGCTTTTTTGGGGCACCTTGTTTGAAGGCAGCACCAAGTGTCACCAAAGGGCTGGGCAAAATGACCTGACGCCTATATTTCAGAGAGCACGTCCCCATTTTGCCCTTCAAAAGTGACAGCCTCAAGGGAAGCCCGCTAGAAAATGGCAACTGTCCAGTCTTCTCTACCCTAAGCCCATGCGAGGACTGAGAAGGGACCTCGTCAAAATATGCGGTTCCCGCAAAGGACACGGCAAAACTTGGAGTGCGTGTGGGTATGTTTGTGCGTGTGTGTGTGTGTGTCCCCTTTTTCTTTGACCGCCTGGCAACCTGACGGAAAAACCCGAAGTCCTAGCCCTGGCAGTCGCAAGTCGAAAATTGGCAAACGCAAAGTAATGGTTAAACTGGTTTCAAGGGGAAGCAGAGGGACCAAAAATCCAATAGGCCTGCGGAACTATACAAAATCCGATAGGCCGCCGGGAGCTACGGGAACCCCAATTTCGCAGGAACCAAAAAGGAAATCGAATCAGGGGCAGGCACCTCTCTTGTCGGTGACTGTTTGTTCTTGTCTTGGCTTCCCCTTAAAACCACCCAACCCCTTTCGAACCAGGCCTTGAGGCCCGCAAGCACGCCCAGCACGCTGTCCACGCCATCCCCGCGCTGCAGGAAGGCCTGAAAGGCATGCCGGAGAAGTCTTCCAGGAATGAACGCCATGTGACAATGTGGCTGGCCGGGGCATGAGAAACGAGCCCTGGAAACCTGGCTTGTGCTATTCTTTCTCCAGCCACACTTTGCGGAACTCTATGCCATTCCATCAGGCGCCGGGCAGCGTTTCGGGGCCAAACACAGGGCCTCCCAGCTCTGAAGGGGAAGCTGTCGGTGAAGTCCGGGTCACTGGAATTCTGCAAGCTTCCCCCCTCAAACACAAAACCTCATGACATAGCCGTGCAGTGCTATTTGTTGCCTTGCTGCCGTGCCCCAACCCCCACTCCACGAGTGGGACCTATCCCTTCCTTCCAAATGAATCAAAGGCGTCCCAGGGCCACTGGAATACTTGGCAATGGACACCCATTGAAATCCGGACAAGTCAAACTCAAAGAAATCCCAACAAAGCTGTGAATGATCTTAACAAAAGAACCACCCCCTAACCTCAACTGTACCCTTCCCTCCATCCACCCCCCAACCCCCCAGCCCCGCCCAACTCGACTGCCTGGAAGCCCTCCACATCCTCACGGCTCATCCTCTCCTGGTGCTTCGCCAGCACTTGCTGCAGCAGGGGTCGGGCTGCCTTGGCACCGAGCGGCAACTGGCGTCGCGTGCGAACTTCTGAACCTGTTCTTGCCATGTCCATAAAAACCCAGTCTGTCAGTCTTTCAGAAAGCATGGCATCCCGTCTCTTGCATGCCCCAGTTTTTCGAGAAGCATCTGCTTGACTGGGTCATGGTGCATAACCAGCCGTGCGCTTTGGAGCCGACCGGCGTCATCTTTCCGGGGAAGGCTGCAAGTTGGCCGAAAGGGACGGAGATTTCCACACTGCCCTCGGCTTTGGCTTTTGGTTGTGCGCGTGTGACGAGAACCCAGTGACGTGAATGACACCCCCCCCCCCCCCCCTTGCGAAGAAATGACACCCCATACAGCTCCTATTGCAGATATACCGAACCTTTTGATCAACCCCAACAGCCGCAACTGCACCGCGCATATGCCAGAGGCCCTGCTGTTTCACAAACGGTCAACTTGAATCCTGCTGCAGTCACCGCCGTTCCTCGCATTGCCCCAAGCCACCACAGAGCCGTCTTCCAGCATGGCGGCGAACGCACACCGGGTCGATTGGATCTTCTGGACGCCCAGCAACTGGTCCTGCACCTGGCTGCTGTCACCGCCCGAGGCAGGATTGCCCCAAGTCACCACAGAGCCGTCGTGGCGGATGGCAGCAAATGCACCTCTGTTTGCTTGGATCTGCTGAACGCGTACCAATTGCCCTCGCACTGTGCTGCTGTTACCACCGCACTCAGGATTACCCCAAGTGACCACAGAGCCATTGTCAAGGATGGCAGCAAAAGCTTCCGGTGTTGCTTGGATCTGCTGGACCTGCGCCAACTGCTCTTGCACCTGGCTGCTGTCACCACCCAAAGCAGGATCGCCCCAAGTCACCACAGAGCCGTCTTCCAGGATAGCAGCAAAAGCACTTCGCGTTGCTTGGATCTGCTGGACGTGTAGCAATTGCTCTCTCACTGCGCTGCTGTCACCACCAGACTCGGAATTGCCCCAAGTGACCACAGAGCCAGTGTTCAAGATGGCAGCAAATGCAGTGGCAGTCGCTTGCATCTGCTTGACCTGCACCAGCTGCTCTCGAGCCTGGTTGCAGTCACCGCCAAACTCTGGATGGCCCCAAGTCACCACTGAGCCGTCGCCCAGGATGGCAGCAAAGGCAAAATGTGTTGCTTGGATCTGCTGGACCCGCACCAGCTGCTGCTGCACCCGGCTGCTGTCACCGCCATAGTCAGGATGGCCCCAAGTCGCCGCAGAGCCGTCGCCCATAATGGCAGCAAATGAGTGCCAATTTGATTGGATTTGTTGGACGCCCACCAACTGCATTTTCAGCTGGCTGCTGCTGTTACCGCCATACTCAGGATTGCCCCAAGTCACCACAGACCCGTCGTTCAGGATGGCAGCAAAAGCAAGCCAGGTTGCTTGGATCTGCTGGACCCGCACCAGCTGCTCCTGCACTTGGCTGCTATCACCGCCATAGTCAGGATGGCCCAAAGTCACCACAGAGCCATCGTCCAGAACGGCTGCAAAGGCACATTCGGTTGCTTGGATCTGCTGGACACGCGTCAACTGATCGTGCGCCTGGTCGCTGTCACCGCCGAAGGCAGGACGGCCCCAGGTCACCACAGAGCCACCTTTGACATAAAGGGCGAAAGCTCCTTGTGTGGAAGCTAGCTCGGCAGGCTGCAAGATTGCGTCGATGCTGTCCCCATCTCGCACGCCCACCTCACTCAAAGTAGACGACGGATCAAGCTGCTGGCCTCTAAAAGCCAGCCTCAAAAAGTAGCGCTTGAATTGCCGTTGCGCCTCTGCCTTGAGTTCCCGGACACTTGACTCCGGCAACAGAGCAACAGAGCAACTCTTTCCACTCGCCAAATATACATCCACTTGCATGACACCGCAAGTGGGCACGCGGGGGACGCGCACAGGTTGCGGGCGCAAGCAAGGCAAACGCAGAAACGCTTCAATTTAGAGCCTTGCAATTTCCAGTGACCCTTGCTTGGTGAGAAGACCTGTTGGTTTGCAAAGTGTTGGCCCGATTCAGTCACAAGCAGGGTTGGGGGTGGATCCAAAGAAAAATAATATCATCCATCAGTCAGGGGATGAAGGTTGGTGTACCAACCAAAAGCGGTAACACTAGAATACAGCGTCAACAGTCACCCCTCTTTCGCTTTGACCCAAATTGTCAGTTGAAAAGCCCGCCAAACACCCTGGGGCAGAATGGCCCGGTGTCCACGTGCATCCAAGGAGTCTCAAGCCATACTACCCAGGTGTTTAAGATCAAAGGCTCCTCTTCGGCATAATTATAGGGGGTGATCTAAAGGTCCGGTAAACACGGGATGACCATCAGGGAAACCCATCAAAAAGATGACTCCCCCCCTCATACTGGGCAAAGTTACCCATGGTCATTTTAAGGGCCGAAGGGAATATTGATCAACCCCCCATCCGGGTGAAGAAACAAATGGGTGTGGGTCAAAATTAAACCACCAGGGGACCGCAGGTTGTAGTCCAAGTGTCCATTTACCAGGGCAAGCCATTTTGGGGGTACCAACTATTTTGCCCACCACAGCCACTTCTGCCATTTTTGACCCGTATCCGCAGCCACTTCAGCCACTTCAGCCACCTATTTCTGTGGCCACCACATTGTTTGACCCATTTGGGGTACCTATTTTTGACCCACAGCCACATCTCCAACCCCGGCGGCCGTTCTTTTTTTGGGGTTTTCCCCCCCCCCCCGGCCCCCCCGCCCCCCCTCCGGTTTTTTTTTTCCGCCGCCCGCTGGGCGCCCCACTTGGCCCTTGGACTGCAGAAAGGCGCCGGCCTCGGCCTGAGCCGCTGGGAGGCTCGGCCCGAGATTAGCCTCGCCAGACCCCAACCCAAAAAGGGAAGGGAAGCTGCCCCTTCCGGGGGGAATACGGGGTCTACCCATGCACAAACTCCCAAACCAAAAAGGAAGGCTTGGGTCAACGAGGTTTACCCCAAATTTGGGAGCACAAATTTTGGGTCCCTTCAAAGAGAGGACGCCAAAAAGCCATTTGAGGCTTCATGGAGAATCCGATGATTTGACTTTTCGCAGGGTCGTGGCCAAGCTTCGAAGCCAAAGGCCTGTGCAAGCTGCTCACAGAGACATGTCCGAGCCAGCCAGAGGTCCAGAGGTCGGTGCTCGGGTTGGACTTGGCGAAGTCGCTGCATGCGATTTCCGAGTGCTTCCAAGTGTGCCATACTTTCGTAGGATCTGGGGACTGACAGTTCAAAAAAGGCAATGCAAACCACATGTTAAAAGCCATGGCCACCCCCGTGTAAAAAAGCCCCCATGCGTCGTCTCTAACTGTCGGGCTGATTTGAAGCCTCCCCCTCCCCCCGCGTGGCTTCACGGAAGGCCGGAGCTAAACTGAAGGCTGAAGGGTCCGGCAAGTTACTATGGGCTGGGGCTGAAAAGTGACATGTACCAAAATGGGCACCGTGGGAATGCAACCAAAGACGAAAACCTGCGGTTTGCCCTAGTCCGACTAGTCCTTTAAAAAAAATGAGCCGCACCCGGTAAGGAATCAGTCAGGGACCTTCATGCAACGGCGTTCGGTTTCCGGAGATCTGAAAATGAATTGCCCCAAATGTCTGGACACCTGCCGGCTGGATGGTCAACCTGTGACCTAGCTTTTGCCATCCAGGCATCAGAACAATTTACTGGGAAGTTCGAGAGATGCAGGAGATGCAGTACTGGATTCTGCGGCTGATTCCCTACATAGTGCAAGGCAACCAGAAGACCTCTCCAATTTGCCATGGAGTGTGGTTCACTTGCCGTTTTGTCTTCAAATCCTTCCTGAGGGTCTTGTTTTCCTTTGAGTCCCCTTTGAAGGCTACCAACCCAAAAAAAAGGGGCTGTGCCCCCGAAACACAGAACCACCTCAGCCCCCACCTGGGGACCCACCCCGGGCCCTCCGGCCCCAGAGAGCGCCGTCTGCGCGCTTTCCACCCCCGACATGTCGCCCTGCAGGCGCCGCAGGTCGTCCAAGTACTCCTGCAGAGTCCGACTCGTCGGATGTGAGTGTGGCGTGTTTTTGAGGGTACCTGGACCAAGCTGCTCAAACAATGGAGAAATCAGAGTCAGACGCTGTTTGAGGGCACCTGCACCAAACTGCGCTCAAACAATGGAGAAGTCACCCCATCATCAGGAGCAATTTGGCAATGACCCAGGCTTGAAGTTGGTGTTGTGATAGCATGTGGCCAAGTGTTTCAATCGAAGGGAGGCCGTCTTGTGATTGCCATCCATTTGTCTACACAATGCATCCAACCACAAAGCCCTGGCGCCATACATTGCAAGGTTTCCTTGTTTCCCCGCTTGACAAGTTTAGGCTAGGGCATGCACAGTCTTGCTTGTTTCTTGTTTAAGGAATGATCGCTGGGTGCTACACACATGGCACCAAGCTCGTGACCAACTGCCACAAGTAACGCGGGAGCAAAAGGTGTCGCCACTGAGATTGAAATAGACAAAACCCAACCCAAGGATTTTGCGGCCACCCTGCAGAGCAGCCCTTGTCACAAAGGGCTGGCCGACTTTGGTTTCGGCTGCAACTGGCAAAAGACCCGACTGATTAGCGAAAGCTCCGCGAAGACAAGGCTGTGAAAAGCCATGTGAGCTCACGTGAGCCTCAGCTGAGAATCGCAAAGTCTTGGGAAAGGACTAAGCTGGGGCAACCAACATTGGGCCTTGAAGTTTCCGCCACACAACCACAACCACGCTTCAGAAGTATGATTCATGAAAACCACTGATGCAAGCCATCAACCACGCTGCCAAAAGTGTATACAACTCCATCTGACAAGGGGCCAAGGCCTACAAACATGTTTCTCCCATCTGAGGTCGTTTCATGGTGCAAGCGCCAGTAACCCCATTCGAATTATCTTTAGGCCCGTCTACGCCGGCCATCCTTGTTCTGCTGCTTCCTGAGCGCCGTGGCAGTGTCCAAGGCAGCCTGCAGCCGGGCATGGCGAACCTTCCAACAGCTCAGTTGACAAAGCCCATCTTAGAATCCCTTGCACGGGAGACACCAAAAACCAAAAACAATCACCCCGAACCAGGCCTCCGAATGGCTGACTCCTCAGACTGGTTTCCCAATTTCGAACCAATGCCAAAGGTCCGACTCAGTATGACATGGCCCCGCAACAAACCGCTCGGCGCGGGCCTCGTTCTTGGCCACTTCGTCCTCGGTCCTCTCAACCTCGGCCTGCGCTGCGAGTGCCAAAAAAAAACGGCCCGAGCGGCGGAAGATGTCGGGCTGCAAGGTCAACAAGGCTTTGTGTGTGTGTGTGTGTGTTTGTGTGTGTGTGTGCTGGGCGAACCCTTTTCAGAATGATTTCAAGGGAAACCATGGGCTTCTGATACATACCCATGACTCCCTTGCAGGGCAAACACTATGCTACCTTTGCTCCAGCTCTCCGTCATTGTGATATCACCTTGACATCTGATAAGCAAATGCTGACCCCACATAATTTGGATGAACACAGAGATGTCAATCCTCAACAACTTGAGGAGTACGTTTTCCATTTTCCAGGGCTGTGCAAACAACATGCTTGATCTACTGGCTTCTCACCTCGTGAGACACAGGATGCTTCAGCAAACCCATTCACAAATGGACATCAAGTGCTGCTGTGATTCCTTCATTGTCATTCCCACAGTGTTTCTCACCGGACAAGATCAAGCATGCCTCACTCGCAAAACAAGAAACCATTCCGGCTGCCTCTGAGCCACGTTGATCAAATCTCCACAAGCTGTATGCAAAGGCATGCTCCGGACCGGCGACCTGTGCCCTGTCTCAACCGCTCATGTTATTTTGCTTGCGGGGTTCCTGAATCATCATAACGACATCTGCTGCTTCTAGGTCCTCCAGTAGAGAGGTTAGAATAAGGGTACCCTTTTTTCTGTGGTCTATTTTAGTAGGGGAACCCTCCCCCAAAAAAGGGTAAAGGGGCAACTGCTGGGGGACCTAGGCTTTCACCTTGCTCCCGGCCTTCAAGCGCTGGCTCTTGGACAGGAGGATCTGCACTCGATCCTGGCGCTCTCCGCTCGCTGGGAGCTTTGGGCGGGCGTTTTGCGGAGGTCAGCTCGCAACAGGCGGACTGCGAAACGTTCCTTGCGTCGCACATGAGCAATCAACCAGTGGTCAGGGACGAAAGCTCCGGCAGGGCAAACCATTGCGTCTTCTTTAGCTCGAAACAAAAGGAGAAAGAACTAAGCTTGACCAGACTTAGACCCCCTACAAAAAAGTTAAACTCTTTGCTTCCCGCGCGCGCAATGTGTCGGCTGTGTGAAAGGAAAAAAAAATCAAGGAAACCCAAAACGGCTTCCAAAAAAACAAAACTTCTTTTTTTTATGGCAATGTAACAAAAAGGAAACCCGCAAAAAAAAAGAAGAAGAGGCAAACAGGTGAAAAGGGCTCCGCATCTGGCAATAGTCCTTGCTCTCCCGCGTGGCCAGCGTGGCCTCCTTCACCTTGGGGCGACCCAAGGTTCTGGGGCGGTTTGCCGTTGGCCTCTTCTCGCGAAAAGCTGGCTGCAAGATGGGAGGGGGGTGTTTGCACCCCCAAATGGGGTCGTTTAAACCCCTGAATATGCTCTAGAATTGTGACCTACGCTGTCAGCCTAACTGGCGGTTTCTTTATTATGTGTTTCTTTCTTGTGCTTTTTTGTTGTTCTTCTTCTTTGTTTGCGTTTTTTCTAGAATCTAGATGGGGTGTCTGGACATCTGGAAGCAGAAGCGGAATTGGCGGATGAATGGCGTACGCATTGCGGCAAGTCGATGCGGAACTGTGTCCGAAGCTGGGCAGGTTCTTGGGCTTCCCCAAGTCTTGGGTAAGCAACCCTAAGAGCCTTTCGCCGGTGCCTTCGGGGGTTGGATTCAACACCGAACGCACATGAGACCAGCAAAGCAATTGCTCGAAGGCACACGGAGCCATCGCGCATGTTGGCAGATCGCTTGCAAAGCCTCGACTTCTGCCCGGAAACACAAATTATTTGAAGTACTGGCATACGAGACAGGAGCGGGCAAAGTAGTGGAGTTCCCGCAAGCAGTTCTACCACGGCACTATTGACTGCGCACCACCACCAGGAAAAAGTCAACTCCTCGGTTGAGATTCTGTCTATACATCATTCAGGGGTGCCCCGCTCCGGTCACATCTCTAAGTGGTGCCATCTTGGGTCCCAAGGGCGACTTCCCTGGACACTCCTTCTTTAAGCAGCCAGGTTCTTCGACCCATCACACTCCTAGTCTCGAAACAGGGAACTTCCTAAAAGGAAGGAAATGTCTGCAATGTGTACAAAACTCCAAACCACGAATTCCATTTTACCAATTGAGGGACTTACAGCATGGTGAGCCGGTTTCACCCCTCAGGTAAGACACCAATCAGGTCAAACCGGACCGTGAGAAGAAGGGCGGAACAGCTGCCCAAACGACCTTTCCGCTGCTTCCCGTTGCTCCAAAACAAAACCGGGGAGAAAATTGAAGAGACGGTCCCTTCTTCTTTTCCCCGTTTGGGTGGAAGGAAGCACGGTCTCTCTGAGCTTCAGTCTGCCTTCTCCTTGGCCACGGTGTTCTCGTGACACCAGCACTTGAACTTGTCCTCAGGCCCCCACGCTGCATGTCTGAAACACGGGCATGCCAACGCATGAAGAAGAGAAGGCGGTCTCAACCATCTGATGAGTTGGGGGGTTCAACATGAACCGGGAAGCCCAAATGGAACAAGCCAGTTATCCAAACCAATGATCCCACATTGGAACCAAACATGAGTCAAGGGAAAAGGGACCAAAGCTAAGGAAATTGGCGAGAGGGGTCCAATGCCCCCCACATGGAACAGAACTGGAAACTGGAAACCATTTTCCTGGGAGCGTGCCTGTCCCGAAGGCTCCTTCTTGACTTTTGGCAAGGAACAAGAGCCAGAGTGTGCATTGTGCTTCCACGGTATCCGTCACCTGCACCCCCGGTTCAGGCACACCCATTCACATCTCTAGAAAACCTACGAGTTGCAGGCAGAGGTGTCCTATTGGAAAAATAAATAACCCTGGTAAATGGAACAAAGCCCATCTAAACCAGTTCCAGAAGGTTGCAGTTGGAGATTTCTTTTGCCTCAGCTCAATGGGACGAAAGATGTTCATCTCACCCGCCCCCAATGCCAGCTGAGCGGCGTAGGTTTCCTCATCCGCTTTGGCCTGACAAGCGGTGCATGCAAAACGTGTCCTGACCCTGGCAGTTCATCTTAGTCAACCTTCCTGCTTTGATAAATGACAAATGCCATTGCAGTGGATGAAGACATAAACCACAAGAAACCACAAGCAACCGCAAGCCACCATAAACAGCCATAAACAACCATGAACCAACCAGCTCAAGTCCCATCAACTTCTCTCGAACCTGGCTGCTGTAGGCTGTCGTCCAAAATGGCGGCAAAAGCACCATATGTCGCTTTCATCTGGTGGACGCGTGCCAACGGATCTTGCACCTGGTCACTGTCACCACCGATCCCATGCTACTGACTCGCAACCAACCGCTCTCGCACCTGGCTGCTGTCACCACCCGAGAGATCTCCACGGGTGACCACAGAGCCGTCTTCCAGCATAGCAGCAAACGCAAATCTAGCTGCCTGGATCGTTCACCAACTGCCCTCGCACTGTGATGCCGTTTCCGCCAAGGACAGCATGGCTCCAAGCCACCACCGAGCTGCCGTTCAGGGTGGCAGCATCATATGTTGCTTTGATCTAGTAGACGCATGTCAACTGATCCTGCGCTCGGCTGCTGTCACTGCTGCTGCAAGCTCCTCCTGCACCAGTCTGCTGTCACCGCCAGAGGATGGCCCCACGTGAGTGCAGCGCGTCCGGAACAAAACCAAACCATGGGCCTCTCAGATGAGGGCGTTCAACAACTGTCAAGTCGCCCATCTTGCCGGACTGTGCGGCGTTCTCGCCAAATGTCTTGGGCTGCAGTGGAAACAGTTGGAATTTGTCCAAAGGAAAACAGGGAGAACTGAGCAGTTCGTAAAAAGGGAATGTGGGTCACTCAGTTCCCTTGCAGGAAGGCACTTGGGATGCTCTCGTCTGGTACCACCTCGTGGTGAAAAGACTCTATCTATCCTTGGATAGCTACACTCTATCAAGAAGACAGAACCAATCAGAGGAGTCGTCCAAGCACATTTCCAGAGTCAACTGGAAGTAGTCCGGAAGCAACCTGCAAGACTGTAAGGTGCCGCATGGCAACGGTGGCAGGGACCCAGGACTTCAGTTGGCCTTCGATTTCGTTCGTGATCCGACATGGCTTTTTTTGGGCAAAAGGGCTTGGAAGACTACCATCCTCTTGAGAACGCCCCAAACCGTCCACTTCCATGAGTCAGCCCCAAAAATGCAATGCTAGGGAAATATTGTGAGTGGTGGAAAAGGGGTAAACTCATTGCCCCGCTGATTTGAGTTGCTTTTCCGGCCTCGCTGTCGAGCTGCTCCTGCATGCCCTTCAGCAGCTTCACCACCTGACCCGTCGCTCGGAAGCTGAATACATCAACAGTCGTTCATACGGGTTTAGCTTTTTTTCAGGGTACGGTGGTGTTCCTGTTGGTTCTCCTTCACCAACCCACCCACCCACCCCCAAAAAAACCTCCGCCTTCCCCGCCTGGAGCCATGGTTTTTTCTTCCTCATTTTTGCCGCCCCAGGCGAGCGTCCGGGCACCAAAGCGGGGGCCGGCGCGCCTTGGTGGTGGGCCGAGCGTCCTCCGTCTGGAAGGTGAGGCCATGGGCCTGGCGAACGGTTCGCCCACTCGGCCCCAGGGAAAAAAACCACGGCTCTGTCTCAGAGGAATCTTTGGAGGGACGGGAACCAGAGATTGGTTGCTCGGCTTCATGTGGTTGGTTCATCCAGATTAAATGCTTGGCGTCAGCTCTTTCTCAGAGGAATCTTCAGCTTCCCTCCAGGTGATTTGGAACCCAGTTTGGATTGGTTAGGGAGGAGTTTCCCATTTATCCTTTATAAGAACCAGTTAAACTCCCAAACCACCCATCCAAACCACCAACTAAGGGTAACCTGACATCTCTCCTTGGGGGGAAGGAAACCAGAGATTGGCTGCTTGGCTGCATGTTTTTGGTTGATTGGTTGCTTGGCGTCAATGCATCTTGTTCCCAACATAGGCTTGGACCAGAAGCTGGGACCCCAATGCCCCCATCGCGCATTCACGCATCGCGCCCGGCCTGTGCCAGCCATGCCAAGATCAGGCCAGCCTAAGCCGGGCTTCGGAGGCGGAACGTGTGTGGCAAGGGCGGGTCAACAGGAATGGGGAATTGGTGGCATTTCAAGCCACCCCTCGCGCAAACCAAAAACAGATGCGAGGCAATCTGGGCAAATGTCTCACTTGCCAGGGCTCAGCCTGCACGCAATCCAGGATGCCTGGCCTACTGCTCCCACCGAATCTTGTGCACCATGGTTTGGTTAAGGGCATCTGCCAACTTCGCTCCAGCAGTTGGTCATTTCAAGCGGAAGTGAGGTGACATGGGCACCCCCTATGCGCATCATACAAGCTCGACAGTTGTGGCAAGCGATGGCAAAAGATATCATTGGGGAGACCACGCATAACACACTGCAAAGTAACAGAATGTTCAGGCCTTGCCCTAAAAATGTCTCCCCCGCTGTGAATGAGCCATATTGCCAAGAACCTGGCTGTCGGTGTGCATTCAACAGTGTTTGCATTCCATATGTAAAGTCCAACATATCGCCCTGCTGCCAAAACCCACAAAACTGAAAACGCACAGAGCCAAACAGGTTGCGCAGGCCAACAACAAACGTCTGGCCAGAGTGCTGTAGAGGTTTACTTGGAGAATACGGTTCTTATGTGCATACGTTCAATGCATCAGCACAGCGTGCAGCTGGCATTTTGTGCAGCCATACATCGGTGGATGTGTGCATCAGGTCGTCAGCTGTTGCATGTGTTTGTACCAGTCCAGATTCACCCTTTGTTTCTCGCCAGTGGCACAGCACAACTGTGTCCTCCAGCTCAGGTAGGAGAACCGAGAACCGATCATTCCATGCTAATACGCGCAGTTTCCAGCGAGAGTGGCAATCTTCTCACCCTCGCCCGCCAAGGGCCTTCATTGTCATCGGTTTGGCGGCTCCCAAGCAATGCTGCGAGCCGAGCTGGGCGACGGCGTCGAAGCTGTGCTGCACTGGAACACATCTTAGACTTTTCTCAGAGACTAACACTTGCCAAGTGAGAAGTGGGCCATTGCTGTTGGTTGGCTTTTGGATTTTCGTTTGAGTTGGTCTTTTGCTTCTAAACCATCACAGCGTCTCCAAACGTGAAGAGTATCCCTTTTGCAAGAATGGAAGTGGACGGTTGAGCCCTTTCCAAGAGGACGGTCTTCCAAAGCCCTCCTGTCCACGTCCACTGTTGAAAAAGGCGGGGCATATTCCACCGACTTCGGGAGGCATCGGAGGCTCAAGTGAATCCGGTTCATGTGCAATGAGGCAGGAAAAAGGCACACACAATCCGGAGAATGCAGAAAAAATGATTCTCCCTTGCAAGCCATGCCTCCAGCATGAGAGCTTTGACATGCAAACAGTTTTCCCCTTGTCAGGGTGGGCAGATTTCACAGCATCACAGCAGGAAAGCCATCTGCCACAGCTTCCAGTTATCTTGTGCGTATTATCATTATTTCAACACAAAACACAAGAGGATTCGAGATTGCCCTTGAAGGGGCTTCGTAAGGAGTCTAAGCAGTTTTACAAGCCTTATAAGGAGCGTTGAAAGGAGCTTCGTAAGGAGCCTTTAGAGGAGCTTTTCAAGCAGCTTGAGCCCAGGCTTTAAGTCAAGTGTGTAAATATAATCAAAACTCGAAAAAGCAGTTCTTCTGCCCCCATCAAACATATTTGAAATGATGTTTGTTTGTATAAAAGTCCTCGTTCTTTTCTTGTTTTTGTGAGTGTCAGCAGGAAGTGTTGTGGTGAGGAGATGAGATGAACAAGAAAAGGCAAACTTGCATGCATTGTACAGAAGTCTGGTAGCTTTGAAAGTCTTGGATTCTTGGTTGTCCCAAGGAACGCTTGCTGTCTTTGCTTCTTCCTAATACAGCTTGGTTGTTTCTTCAAAAAGAAAGAAAAAAACATGGATTTCTTGTTATGTTGCTGGAAAAACGAAAAAAGAAAAAAAAGAATTGCACATTGTTTTATGCAGCAAAAAACAAACCAGGAAACCAGGAGAATTTTTGGCTTTTGCTCAAGAACAAAGATGTCCCAGCGCATACCAAAACAAACAAGAATTTATTTGGAAAACGAAGAATCCAAAATGTTAAAAGCCACACAACTCCGGCAAACAACTTGGATTCTTAGTGTTTGGGCAAACTACAAAGGAGACAGTGCTGAGTAAAGAGCAAATCTTCTGCTGGACATGCTTCTGCATAAATCTGCCAAGCATCTGCTACCCAGCCCCAATGCAACCTCAAGTCATCATGTTCTGTGGAAGGAACACCTGGGTCATTGGGGGGTGGGGGAGTGGACCATATTATATATATATATATATATATTATCACACACATGCACACATACTTGTGGTGGGAAGAAATATGCTCCCAAGGCCGCATACAAAGGCCATCCTTTCTGTCAAGAGCATTGGCCGCCTTCGTCTCAGGCGGGTTCGGTCCGAGAATTGGCAGAGCAGTGGCTGCAGGCTTACGTGGCTGGCCTTGACTTGAAAAAGAGTTTTTTGAGTTGTCCATGTCTTGCAATGCGGTTGCCATGTTTCAGAGCTCCTGGCTCCCCCTCATCTTGTACGGAAAGGATCAAATCGACACGTCGGCAGCCCGTTGGCCTGACAAACCGCCGCTCTCGTCAAAACGAGAACGGCCGAATATGAAAATGACTTGGGATCGGCGTACATTGGCACACCATCCGAGGTGATAGACCTGAGTCTCTTCCCCGTTTGCTTGATGACTGAACAATTTCCGGAAATGACTCGAGCTGAAGCCCTGCGATCCCTTGGTCTGCCGTGCAACACAAAAACTGTCATGTGGCCCCGGAGAATGTTGCTATGCCCGGGTTGGTTAGTAAGTAGGTCTACAGTATCACAAAAGCAACAAGCATTGGCTTGGCGTCAATTGATGGACTTGATCACCACCAAGTGTACTTCCGCAAACTGATGCAACAAACTGCAACAAATGCACAAGTGAACAGTTGCGTACCAGAATTGCAAACCGTGAATTGAACACTGTGAATCAGGATCCTGAAGTAAAGACGTCTCATGGTTCATCTAGCCCTGTTGCCTTGGCCACTGCCCAAGCTCAATTTCAAATCACCTTGCCTCTGTCAGGGATCTGTACGTTTCCCGCCAGCCCACCACACCATTCATTTAAAACCCTGCAAGCCCTTCAGTTGGCCATGGGAACTGTGCTTCAGTCCAATAGAAGAACACGATGTTCCTAAATAGGAGCTTCGGAACAACATGTTTGAGACATCCATCCAAAGAAAGACAGAACAACATGAAGAAACCAACTTGCCAGAGTGCCAGAACGCCAGCGATAAACTCCCAGACGTCCCTCGAAGGCTTTCCATTTTTAGCACGGAACCCCATCCTTTTCTTCGGGAGGAGGCCCGGGTCGCGAGGTCGCGCCGTCGCGACGGGGGGCCGCGGAGGCTCAGAGCTTCAAGCTCTGGCGCTCCCGGGCCCGCGCCACGCGCACGCGGCCCCGCACCGCCGCCAGGCCCCCGCTCTGCGCCAGGCCGCGCCTCAAAGGACCCGGGCGACCCGGGGCTTTTTGGGGGCGAGGGGGGGGGGAAGGGGTTGGGAGGGCGAAGGGGGGAGGCCAGGGGTAAAGGGGCGCCCCCTGAATTGAGTCATTGAGGGTGCCTGTGTCGCACACTTGGCATCTTCGCGATGAGGGAGTATCCTAAAATAGGACCCGGTTGTTGGTGTTTGGAAGGAAACTGAAAGGAACCAGGGGGTCCGCGTATAAAAGACACCCATGCAAAAGCTATGTGTCGCATTCGTGCCTGTCCAAACCACGAAGCCAGGTTTGTCATGTCAAAGTCTGATCTCGCTGGCCAACAGGAAATGGAAATCAAGGACAAAAGTTTCATCACTGATCACTTGGGATGGCCACGAAAAGGAAGAATCGGCTGATGCTCCGGATGTCCAAACAAGTGCCAGTTGTCCTTTCTGCGGCTCAGCTATGAGGAGGCTCCATCTAGCACTCCCTTCAGAATCAGCGCCTGAACCCTTCTGAAGGAAATCCAAAGAGTTTCTTCAAACAGCACCATACTTGAAGGGGGGCCAACCCGAACCCTGCCTGGCAGTGTCTACAGCCCCCCTCCCCTCACTCCAGTGCGGTCTGATCTCCTGAGCCTCCCCACACCACACATTCAGCCTGCAGCTCCTGGCGAGTCAAGAAATCGCCCCGAAGCTTCCCAAGTTGGTCCAAATTTGGCAGCATGCGCGGTGGCCTCCGCAGAAGAGAGAGCGAGAGAGAGAGCAAAAGAGAAAGAGAAAGACTAAAGAAAAAGAGGGTAGAGTTGCGCCATCGAACAAGTTGAACTGCGCGAAATCTCACCGCCAAGTGCAGTACAGAGAGTACTTCCGAAAAGGCTCAGGTACCTGAGAGGACTTTTTTCCGCTGCATCCATATGCGTCATTAAACCTCGGGTCCTTGGGTCTGACAAAAAGATGTCAACCCTCTCGAGCTAGCGCCTCCAAGGTCATGTGGCTCACCGGCGACAGGCCAGAATCCGACGCCTCAGATTTTCCGTGACGCTTCGGCCGGAGGTGTTCCAAAAACTCGGGGGAAGTTCTTTTGGGTACGAAGGAAACCAGTCGCTCGGACCATCCTCCCCGCAACAAAACTAGTCGACTCCCGCAGAAAAGTCTCTCAGCTTGGCCCCCGGTGAGGCTGGGCGTGGACGGGCCAAAAACAGGTCCTGGGGCCGCCGCATCCATGAAGCGGTCGAAGATGAGGGGATGCTGGCCCTGACCGCTTTGCTCTCGAGAGCAGCTGCCGGCCGGAGAAACGCTTCCTCTCTCGGCATGCTTCTCCAGGCCCTGAAGGTTGGCAGACCAACGGAGATGACATGGTGACAATAGTGTCTCCATGTGGGCATGTATCAAACCATTTGGGGGGACCCCTATAATTAGAGGTTTTCCGTTCTCCTTCTCCCGAAAACAACCCAACTTACCGGGACACCCGTGGCAAGGCCTCCGGCTGGCCCTGCGCAGTGTCCTGCATCTGGCCGAGCATCTGCTGCATGCCCTTGGCATAGGAAAACCGGACCAGCTGGAGCGGTTGCACGCACGGTCTCACCCACAGGGTGGGCCGGGAAAGACACCTTTGACCAACTGAGTTAGAGAATCCCCTTGCAAAGATGGTCTTTGGTTGTATCCTTTGAGGAATCAGCGACCAGCTAAGATGCTGAAGGCGCTATTAACAGAAGCAACAAGTGCTGTGGACTTGCACATTGTGTTTGGAGGACTCCGGACTGACGCACAACCCGAAGCCGATAGATGACGGCACGCTTGCGGCACTCAGTCATGCCTCGGTGGTCCACACAGACTCCAACGTCAACCCTATGGGCGTGATTTACTTGATGCAAACACCGACAAAACCATCACACGCCACCCAAGAAGAACTGTGGCCTTCCCCAAGCAAAAAAAGCCTTCCGGCCATCAAAGTGAAAAATTCTTCGCAACCTGCGGTTCCAGAACCAAACATATTCCCCTTGTCATGAAGCCCAAAACGACTTGGCGTCCCACAAAAGAAGACGCCTCCACACACGGCGGTGCGATCCGCCCGATCCGCCGACGCGGTCTCCAACCGGCGCCTCAAGCTGCTTCGCCCACCTCTGGCGGTTGGCCTGCGGTTGCAAGCCATGATTTCACGGCTCCACCTTTCGGTGTTGCTCAAATGGATTGAGCGTCTTTTGTTTGTGGGCACCGAAGCTTGGGCATGAAAAAGCGAGCCCCGAAGGCCGGGAAGTCGTTTTGCTTGGATCCACTCTCGGCGCTGACAGGAGTCGAGGACGCCGAACCGGGCGGTATGGAGCCGAACCGCTGGGACCCTCCAGTTCCATTCCCTGCCTCCAGCTCGGCCCGCGCGGCGTCCCGCTCCGTGCGCATGCGGTCCCGCTCCGCGCTGACCCGCTGCAGCCGGGCACCTCGGGGGCTAGACGCGGGGGGTGGGTCGAGGCGCATGGGAAGGCTGGGATCGCGGGCGGTTCCTGAAACAACTACACAAAGAAAAGTACAAACCAAGAGATAGGATGCAGCCAGGCATGATTTGACGACGATGGTGATGAGGAGGATGATGATGTGGGTGGGTGGCGACCACTTTGTCTACCCAGTATACGCTGGTGATGCTGGGCGTGTCGACCACTTTATCCAGAAGATATAGTGTCATTTATGTTTAGCAAGCGGACAAGCACCACCCGTACTAAACAACTTTAACCGCAGGCAATGCTGGGGCTGTCAGCCGCTAGTGAGAATGCTCAAACACCATTAGTATTTGTGACATAACACGCGAAATATGTCGCCTTTTCGCATCCCACGTCACTTTTGAATCCCCATACAGGAGAAAGAGATAGCATGCAGCAGCATCCCCAGCATCACCAGCACCCGCTCTTATATACGGGGTATCTGATCAGTTAAATGCAGATTTGTTTGATGACACAATGACTCACCATTTAGTATTGGTGTAGCAGTGATGGACCATAGACTGGGTTGCTCTTCCCGACTGCTCAAGTGTACCGAGGTCCCAAAACCGATCCCGGCAAGCTCACTGAAAAGGCATCCGGCGGGCCAACTGTTCAACACAACATTGCTCACATCATCGGCCAGTACAACGCTTTGGCGAATTCAGCTAGGGGTCCCAAATCGGATCCCAGCATCACCAGCACATCAAGAGGATTCGAGCCTCTTGAAGAAGCCGCCAGAAAGAAATGAAAAAAAAGGTCAAAGCCTCAACAATTGCTGCTGATGCTTCCTTTTGAAGTCAGAGCCCACACCTCAACCAACATGGGTAGTTGGGGATGCGAAAAGGTGACCTGTTTGCATGTTTTGTCCCAGATACTTACTTCTGGTGTTGGAGTTCTCACTAGCGCCTGACTTTCTTTTCTATACGGTTCAAACGTCAAATTGCCTGATGTATCCACGCGAGCTCCGTGTCCCAAGGTATTGTAAAGCGGGAAAGACTCAGGAATCACGGAAATCTTGGGGTTCGGCTCTGCTCAAATCCCAAAGCGATCTACTTCCAGATTGTCGGAATTGATGTTCAAGAATTCCTCGCCTAGACGCAAACATGGAGCCTTGCGGCACAAGCAGGACATTCAAAAAAGCAGCGCGGGATGCTGAGCCCCTGCTGGGTGCCACACATGTCTTTCCCAGATCCTCCTCCAGAGCTTGCTTCTCCTAGTGCGGGAAGCGGGAACTAACTCTTCGTTGGAGTACATCAAGTCATGCAACGTCGCGGAGAAAGAGATTAGACCGAACAGACAAGCCCGGTCCTGCAACAAAAACAATATTGGCAATCGCGAGCAAATGGGAGCTCTTGCCGTGTGACCACAGCTGAGGGCTGCCCGCCGGTGGCAAGGTACCATGGAAAAGCTGCCAAGAGGGCTTTGTAAGCCGACCATGTTCTTTGTTGGGAGGGGGAACCCCGTCCACTTCTATCGCAAAGGGAGAAGTCTCTCCAGGTGGACGCCACACGTCGCAGCACGTCGCACTGGCGGCCGTCCACTTTGCGCCACTCAGAAGCCCACCTTTGGGGCTGGAACCAGTGAGAAGCGCCGAGTCCGGGGCAGAAATGTCTCCTTCCCCGCCTGCAAAGACCGTCTTTTTGCTGGGGTGCAAAAGCAAGGTTGGGCCCATGCGACCATGTTATGTCCAATGAGTCTAATGCTCACTTGTCTAAGTATTCACTGCATCCTGATGCTCCAACTAGATGTTCAATCCCCTTCACCAGCGCCAACGCTTGTTGCTCGATGCACCACCGCTTCACCGCATCGCCGCTCAGGTGCCGTTCTTGACGCAGGTCAGGAACTTGAGGACTCCATTGAAGAGGCGCTCGCAAACTTGGCGGTGCGCCTCACGCGCCGAGCGACAAAATGCAGCTGTGCAGCTGCACGGATCTGAGGAACGGGGTAGCAGCGTGCGGTTGGAAGCAAAATGGGCATTGGACCCTTTGCTGCCCTTCTACCGCAATTGCGACCGGAACCCTGCATATCGCCCTAGGCTCGCAAAGGGGCTCATTCTCCTTCTCGCGCCTTTAGAGACCAGTCCGCGGCTTGTCAACCAAACTACCCCACCCCCCCGCCAACCTCAGATTGCTTCTTTGGTGACTCAGAGGTTGCGCAACTTCCTTGCCACGCAGTTTCCCTCCCAGTCAGCCCGAGCCCAGGATGAATAGATCCCGAGTTTGATCAATAGAGGGAGCAACCCATTTTAGACGGGATCCTTAACATCTTTAAAGGGGAACCCGCAGGTTGCGCAACGCAAGGACATGACGTCCAAGTACAGGATATCTCTTTGCAGCTCTTTGAGTGAGCCGCGATTTGCCCCTTACACAAATCCAGAAAAATCCTGGGAGGTGATGCTCAAATTGCTAAAACATGCTCATAGAAATCCCTTGCAGAAATTCGCATTGCCTAGGATCCCCCTATCAGCGATACATCCGTCTACATCACCCCAGCTCGCGGCCTGGGAGATGCTCTTCCACGCCACCCTCCTCCGCAGCTCGTCAGAGAAGACCAGCACCAGCTGCACCGGCTCCTGAATTCGTCGAGACATGCGCCAATCCGGCCAAGTCGCAAGGAAACTCAAGCACGGAGCCTGGCACTTGGGTGTGATTTCTCGAAGTGTTGCGTGTTTTGCTTGGTGCCAAGCACACGAGCTCTTGTTGCCTTTAGTTGTTCTCACAGATGATCCTGGAACACGGAAACCTCTTACTTCAGAGTTTGTTGAAGTTGGATGCAATACGATCATCTGCAGTCCCGTGCAGGCCTCGAGTCGCAAAGGTGTGACTTCCAAGTGGTTCTTGGCTTGATTTCCTCAAACAACAACCAGGGCATGCTTGGAGGCTCACACACACATCCACCCAGCAATCCAGTTCACGCCCTGTTGGACTGCTGTCAAACGGCCGGGGAGTGGGAACATTACGACTTCACAGCAAAAAATATACCCAGAACTAATTCCAAGCAGAAGGCAGTTGTTTGCGCGGTGAAAAACCCATCCCTTCACTCTGTCATGGCAAGCTGAGGGGGGAGCGGGGGCGGAGGGAGCCCCAATAAGCCCCAAATAAGGCCTTATTAGGGGCTTAATAAGGGCTTATTTGGGCTCGCTCCCCCTCCCCCCCCAGCCCCCATGACTGTGGCGTTTTCTCCTGGCGACGGCAGGCCGCGTTCTCGGGCATCGGCGTGGCAACAAAGTCCTCCTGCCCAGACAAGTTCCTGGCAGGGCTCAGCTGGGTACCTCGCTTCCGAGGAACCTCTGGGCCATGCGGGAAGCCACCGAGTGCGTTGGGTGGTGTCAAAACCAATCCAAAGAGAGCCCGACTTTTTGGGGGCTCGCATATTTGGCTTGATAACTCCCCCTTCTTTTCAGAACAGGTCACCCTGAGCGTGTGTTTTTGTGATTATATTGATTAAGTCAGGAAACACCTAGTGCTTTGCATTTCTTTAGAACAGTGTGAAAAACTTTGACAAAACAAAAAAGAACTATCTCAGCTGTTCTGACTTGGGGGGGTAGTCTTGGTTGTTTTGGCTTTTTTTTTTGTGTGTTTAATGGTTTTCTCCAAGTTGTTTGCATTTCTTTAGAAAAGTGTGAACACCTCGAGAGAACCAAAACAAAACTATGTCAGCTGTCCTGACTTGGGGGGGGGGGGGTAATCTTGTTTTTGTTTCAGTTATTTTGTTTTGTTTTTTGTTCTCTCGTCTCCAAAGAACTCTATCAGCTGTCCTGATTTGGGGGGTATAATATGTTTTGTTTTGGTTGTATCGAGTTGTTGCCGTTTCCGGCCAGTTTGCAGAGCTTCTGTGATCAAGCGCGTGGCTGTACCTCACCTCCAAGCCCTAGTACACAGTAAGTTAGAAATGGTCTCCTCTGGTTGGACTCGTTCCTTGCTACACTCTTCTTAATTTTAGTTAGAATTGTACAAGTGTCACTTGATAAGTATGTTAAGTAGAGTTCGTAAGAAACTAGAGGCCCCAAAATTGTTAAAACCATGTTGTTTACATGTCTATTGATTTGCAGAACCAATTCTATTGGAAAGGAGATCATGTGTAACATTTACTTTGAAAGAGAATACTCATTATTCATATTATACGTTAAACTTATTTTTTGGATTCTTTCCTGATTAAATTCTGTTTAATGTGAGATATGTATTAAGTAGAACTTGATGAACTGAATGTATCCAGTAGAACTCACAAGGAAAGAAACCAGAGGTGCCGAGAATGTTTAATGCATGTTGCTCAGATGCTTACTGGTTTGTAAGGACAATTCTATCGGAAAGGCACTCCCGTGTCGCAGGAGTCTTCCCTTAACAATTTCTGTTTCATTTCAGTTGGAAATTAATTAGAAATTGATAAGATATTAAGCAGATTTCAGAAGGAAGGAAATTCAGAGGTCCCGAAATCGTGATTGCTTTTTGTTTGCTAGCCCCACTACGACGATGGTCAGAAAACGCCGTAAAACATTATTTTTCCCATTAGAACATTATAATTAAGTTAGAGTTGAAGCATAAGTTGACAAGGATTCAACTAGAATGATTCTAACTGAAATGATAACTTACACAGCATGTTCTGCCCAATCGAATTTCTTTACACTTCAGCTAAGATTTAAGAAAACATAGTAAGAATCCACTCAAAACGTGAAAAAGCGCACGCTCACAGCGTCCCGCTCTCTTTTTGTTTTAGGGGCTGAGAACTTCCAAGCTCAAGCCCCCTAGAATCCTGCAAGTTTTTTGTTGGGTCATTCGCGGTCGAATTTTCACACTCCAATGCCTTTAAAGCACGCTAAGCTTACAAGCGGCCAAGAATTGACCGCCCCACTCCTGCCACACAAAGCGGAGTTGAAAGTTCGATCCACGGGTGAAGAGGCACAAACTTCTGTCCTGATGTATCTGTCAGCCAAGCGCAAAGGCTCCCATTTGGCAGCAAACAAGGAGAGCCGGGGAGCTAGGCACCTCTGACCTCTGCGGCCGCCAGCGGCACCTTGGCGGTGCCTCTGGGCCAAACCCACCGGCACACGAACAATATGACCTCGTTCTCGCTCTGCGCTGGAGCAAATCCCAGCGGCACACGGCCGTGTGCCCCCGGCACCTCGGCCGTTTCCCAGAGAGCGGCGTTGACACGGTGCGCTGCAATCTCGGAGCGCTTCCAGCCGGTATGCTTCCGATCCTCGCTCCCTCGCGGTTAGACAACTAGACTCAACCGTGACCGGATGTCTTTCCATCCTTTTGGATCGACTTCATACTATTGCACGACCTTTCCTCACCGTGAGCGATGCAGCCGTGGGTTCTTCTGGGTGCAAGAAGCCTTTGGCGTTGACTCCCCCACCCCGCCCCCGCGCCTCGAAAGGCTCTGGGCGCGGGAGTCGTAGCCACGCTTGGCATCGCCTGGCGACGGAAGGATTGGCCCAAGGAAGCAGTATTAAACAGAAGCCAACCAAAACAATTTCACAAGTCACAGATTTGAAGACCCCAAGTGGTGCGCAAGGCCAAACACTTTGGAAGCTGACCACATTCGGAATGGTGGAACTCACTGCTGGGCGCTGCCAAACAATCGTCCCTTCTTCCGACTGGGCTCTCTCTCTCTCTCTCTCTCTCTCTCTCTCCCGCGAAAGATTACACGAGATTCATTCAATCCACTATTTGGGTGTGCCTTGTTTGTGCTTGGTTGTTGGCTTAAAAAGCCGCCCAAAAGAAATGCACCTTCCTTTTGAAAGAAGCCTGCTTGTCTTCAACTTGACTGGCGTCAAAATCCGCGGCATGGCTCCATTCAGCTGACAAACTTCGCGTCGTAGGACATGGCTATGGGTCAAAATCCCGTACCCCCAGTGAACATCCCAATCCCAACTAAAATAGACTACCATGGGTGGTGCACCTACCCCAAAATGGTACCATTATTAGTTTTGACCCACAGCCACATCTGGCTCTGCTTTCCTTATCTTGCTTCTTCTCACCTCACCGCCTTCGCCTCATTTGACTGTCCGGTGCCATACTCTGAGTGTTATTCTGCGCGCCTCTGCGCCGTGTTTAGTCCAAGCTGTTTTGCTCCGCGTGCATGTCCGTTGCACCGCCTTCCCTTGCTCTACGCTTGATTTGCTTGGCTAACTCCCACTTGCCGTACTTGTCCCTTCTGTCTTCGCTTTGCTGGTGTACATCTAGCGGCATCACCTACAAGACTCTCTCTCTCGCTCTCTCTTCACTTTGCTTCACTTACTTTACGCTGCTCACTCCCTAGGGTTCAACCCGGTCCGCCGGGCATCCGACCCACGAGTCCAAAACACTGAGAAAGCACATCTGCTCGATTGCGCAAACTCTTTTGACAAGCCGCATTGAATTCGAGGCAACAATGCACGCGAACCCAGCTCCTCGCTAGCGTTGCACTGTTTGAAGATGCCTCGCCCAAGCCCAATATTGCTGGGGCTTTTGCAAGCCTGTTCTCTATGACAATATCAAGCTTGATTGCACGCTCAATGTTCAACTGATCTCTTGATTAGAAGCTTGAACGTGCATAAAAAAAGAAATGTAAATTCAGATGTTGATGTGCAAAGTCAAGACAACAAACACATGGATGTCGGATGTTGTTTGTTCAATGAATGCCGGTAAAGATGAGAAGACGTTCAGGCAAACCCCAAAGCGCTTCTCCTCGAGAAAATGCGCGCCTGGCGGTTTCAGCAGCGGCGAACGCGGGGATGCCACCTGGCGTCCCAATTTCGTCTGAAGATGTCATGGCATTCGCAGGGGTTGGTTTTGTTCTCAGAGTGTGGGTCCTTCTTCAGGTTTCTTGAATTGAAATTCTAAGTGGAAAACCTGATTTTTTTTGGGGGGGGGTGCCCTAATTTAACGCCCCCAGATGTGAACCCGGAAGCCGGAGCAAAACAAGGAATTGCGCGCAAACAAGCCTTCGACCAAGCAACAATCCTTCCGACCAACAGCCCCAAACTTGCAAGATCAAAGAGCGAAGGCAAGGGAAACCTGACAACCATCAGACAAATCAGTCACATCAATCCAACCAGTGGCCAATCAAGACCTCGCCTGCCCAGCTAGCCGGAAAACCAGCCGGTTTTTCGGTCAATCAGTCTGTTCAGTTCAGCCTGGCCGAACATCTTGGCCCACGGAAGATGCTCCCATTCGACCCAACAAGGTTAGAACTTTGGCCACAGGAAAACCAACTCCGGGCCCCCTTTTCCCAAGGTATCTGCAAACCAAACCTCCAAGGTGAGCTGAACGTTCTTCCGTGTTCGGAGCCTGGAGCCCGAAATCCCCGAAAAGAAAAAACAAAAAGGCACCATGGCCTGGAGCCGCAGCACGTGCTCTCCGTCGCTGGACACCGTGTCATCCCCTGCGTGCGGAGGCGCGATCCCTCAAACCGCCGAGAGACGCGCGCCGAAGCCGACTTTGCTCGGAGACGTTTGTGTGACTGCCTGAGCCATGAACCAGGTCGGTGCCAGGGGCGCACATGATTCTGGAGGGCCGTCCAAATGACCAGTTCGGAACTGGCCAGCACGGGGAACAAAAATTGGGCTATTCCCGCTGAGAAGTGAATGGAAATACGGCAGTCGTTTGGCAAATGGTGAAAAGGGGACATGAATTCGCAGGGCTATCAAGCCTTCGTCCCAGAGTCAGTTGTTGTCTCACTGGCGGGTGCAGACTCATCTCTCGCCAATGCTGGTGCCCGCAGTCAATTATCCAAAGACATTCTACACTCGTGATAGGCGTAAAAATACTTGCCATGTCAAACAATCGCTGCATCCAGGTTCGGTCACGGAAGGCGCCTGACAGCCGCACCAGCCGTAGAGGCTCTGCGATGACTGGCTCCGCCCAAAAGGCCTTCAGAATGCATCGGCAAAAGCAGCAAGTCAGTTCAACAGCCCGGTGAGTCGCTTCAACAAATCCACTTTGCAACAAGCAAGCCCATCCCCAGATGATCGCTTTTGGTGCCGATATCTAAAGGGCTCTGGGCCAAGAAAAACAAGGCCTGGCAGCATCCCAACAGATCGCCTTCTCTTCGTCAGGGCGGGTCAGCAGCAGAATGAACTGCGACGGGACCAGGTACACCGACTCCTGCGCGCCCCGCTTGAGATCCCAGCGGGTCGGAATCAGGCTGTCGAGTGGTTGAAGAGCTATGCCTCGTGATGTTTTTCCACTTGCAAGGGTCTTCAAGAACTTGCAATAACCAGCCTGGTGGTTTAGGATTGGCCTCACAAAGCAGACCAAGAAAAATTCCCTCTTCTGGCTGGCCAGCAAGGCCCCGCAAGACCGGGTCTCGGCACCAGACGCAAGGGTCTGAAACCAAGGAAGGGGTCCCTGTTGACCAATTCCACTGATGCGAAACCCAGAATTGGGTCCCCTTCGAAAAACAAATCCAAGGCCCCTGACCTCAGCACCCCTGCCTCTCTCTCTCTCTCTCTCTCTCTCTCTCTCGTGTCCCACCTGTTGAAGGCCCCGCGGCCCCACCGTTTGGCACTTCACGCGGTTCATCTTCCCCGCGTAGATCGAGACACCGGGCTGGTACCGCACCGACTCCTCCCGCTCCGCCTCGCGAAAATGAACGAGTCAAGCCCTTGACATTGGTGCCGGGAAAAGGGGAAGCGAAACAATTTGAAGGCTTGGTCAACTTAACTTGCTGGTGCTCAAAAGGGAATGAGGGAATAATAAATCCCTATAAACCATTGCAAGAGAACACCGATCTCCAGCTCGAGTCGTCGGCTCAAAGACCGCCTCATCCAAGCCAGGCATGTCGCCGCTGCTCCTGGGCGAGCACAAAAGGCAGCGGAAGAGTCACTCTGACGCGAAGATAGCGCTGTTCAAGTCTTTACTCCCGCTGTCCAACTGCTCGCATGTAGGAGCAACCGATTTCAGGAAGTGGGTGTCAGAGAACTCCCATGAGCCCTAGCGAGCAACACAACATGCACAACTTTCCGCAGCTGGCAAATAGACATCGCTAAAGAAGAGCTCCCAAAGAGTCTGCCCAGCAGCCAACGGCAAACAAAAATTCATCAGCTGCCATGCATAAACGTCCCCACAAAGATACACTAGCTGCTTTTGGGCTTACTCCGCAGATCACTTTGTGGGTCACCACTTTCCAAGAGGAGTCTGTCGTCCTTCTACAGGAGTCCATGCACTTCTATGATAGTTGGTGGATCTGGTATCTACGCGTGGCCCTTACACACACAAAAAAAAAGACCACCGTGGGGGGGATTCCTCTACCGCATTCCTGGAGGTCTTCAACGAAACCCGGCACCGAGCCGAGGTTTTCGGCTTTCCAAGTGGCGCCAGCAGCCGATGCACCGCCAGCAGCACCCGGAAGCACCGCGCGCGGCCTCTGGGCTCCGACCGCTCCGCGTCCTCGGCCTGGCCTGCGCACGCGGGTTCTTTGCGGGAGTCGGGGGGAGCGCTTTTTGGGTGCTGCTCAAGGGAACCACAAGAAACCGCTACTTATTTATTTTTTAGGCGTTGTTTAAGAGAAAACGAAAGGAAACCAGTATTTGGGGGGGGGCCTTTAAACAAGAAACACTTCTCACCTGGGGGTCAAAGCTAAAAGACAACAGGGGGGTCCGGGACCCCACATTGACGCAGAAACTGTTGGGAGTGCACCTCCCTCTCTTTTGACACGCGCCCACAAGTCAAGAAAACTGAGTTGCAAGTACGTGGCCGGGTGTGCGTCTCAAATTTATGCACATGAACAAATACCTCACTCGGAGGTTGCCCTTGCCCCGGCTGCCTGAGATATGGTTCGCCAGCCACGAGCAAAGAGGGCAAAAACATCCGTACGCCAACGGAAATTAAGATTCAAACCAATTGCAAGTTGGGTCCCTGTTCCAGCCAAGAACGTTGGACAGGATCTGACACCAAAATTCTAGGGGTACCTTCCCCCATTCTTTCCAGGCATCCTTCTTTCTAAAAGACCATGCAAAACCCTGGGGAACCAGCTGGTTGTTGAAAAGAACGATGGATGAAAAGAATGGAAAGGGAATCCACCCCTGGACAAAAGGGATGGCCTACCGCGAAGTGCCTGGCTCCGGCGCCGCGCAGGCCGCGGGCTCGGCTGCCAGCCACTGCGCCTGAAAGTCCTGAGAAGCTTCTGCTTGCTCCGTAAAGGGGGGGGGGGTTGAGGTGGAGGTTGGGGGGGGGGGGGGGGTTGGGAGGGGCTTAAGTAGGCGAAAAACGTGCGGTTACAAACCACAATAGAGTTGGGTGAAAGTCGAGGGCCGTTGGGTTGGTCATCTCTTTGAACATGTGGGACGCTGAAAAGGCTGGTGTTTGAAGGGGAACGAATAAAGCAGACAACAAAAACCGACACATAGGGTGGGGTGAAAGAGTAGTCGGGGGCCTCGCCTCGCAAATAAATTGCTTCATACATACACCCCCCCTACAACTTGTTTCATCTTCCATCTTCTACCCTTATTCGTTTTCATCATTTTTCTACATTCCTTTCTGTCCATCTCATCCGTTTGTTTCTCATCATTTTTCCAAAATTTTCGCCATCCTTTTCTCCTTTCTCCTCGCCTCATTCATTTCACCAACTACCCTTCAAAATATCATTTCCTCAATCTCCTCACCTCATCCATTTCAAAAAAATATTTTTTGCAAAATATATTGCAAAAAATATTTGTCATCAAAAAAATATTCGAACTGTCTAAAAACGATTTGTCCATTTCTCAGACAAAAAATAGAACAGCAACAACATCACTCTCCTCCTTCGTTTCATCACTTTTATCATATATATTTTTAGGCGTGGTGTCCCTTGTAGGATTTTATCTTCAATATACAAAACGCTATACTTACATTATAATTATAACATATAATATTTTACATGTTATAATAAACATATGGTTGAGAATTATGGGTTAAAATAATGGTCAGGTAACAAGTCTTCAAATATGTAATCTACATATTTATCAATATCACCAATGTCTATATATTTGATATATTGTCTTTTCCTATTATTGAATAAATATATTCCCAAAAGAATAAATACAACAATAGACATACTTTATATTTAGTGTTGTAGTAATACCATACATGATATTTAGTTATTCTAAATTCATTCAAGACCTCGTTTATTTTATCTTTACTTAATAAATGCCAATCAATCTCTTCAAACAAATCACGAAATTCTTTAGCAAATGATTTATATGGTTTAATGCTTAGTTCTCCTCCAAACCTTTTAATCAAATCTTTATTATTAAAAAACTCATCAATTTATTTTTCAAATGACTCTCTATCAATTTTATGGTAAAAACATACAGGAAATCGTTTTTGATATCTCATAAAGAATTTCAATTTTAATTGAAACTTTGTATATCCCTTATCCTTATATTCTTCAACAAACAACTTTTCAAGGTCTCTTGTTATACAGCATTGATTACAATATACATCATATTCACTTATTTTATTACATAGATTGGCGGGTAATAACTTATACAATGTTATATTAACATCATTCCTTTTAGTTTTACAACATTCGCACTTTGAATAATTAAATAACATTTCCACTGTAATATATATATAGTGTTTATTTCTTTAAATACTTTTTTACAAGAAATAACATTACATATTGAAATATAATTATAACATATAATATTTTACATGTTATTATTATATTATGATTAAAATTTAAGTTCAGGATAATAAGTTAATTGATATATCTTACCTCTTTCATACATCATTTTAAAAATAAGATTAATATCTCTCACTGTATTTTTAACATTAAACTGTTCACTTTCAATATATGATTTTATGACTTTTTTTACATCAACGCCGGGTTTACTATAATAAATCAACATCCATAATATGTCATTAATCATTTCATACTTGTTCTTACTGATTTTAAGAAACTGTTTAACATAATCGTAAGGTGGTCTTTCATACACAGTTAAAAATATCAATATTTCATCTTCAACATTTCTTTCATCTATATGTTTAAACGCCAAACAATTTTCTATTATATTTTGATATCGTCTCCATCTTCTACAAGTTCTACATATATTTTCTTCGTCCAACGCATAATCAATAATATTATGTATTATTCCATTAGGTAAATTCAATTTATATAATTCCATATTTTCTTTTTTAAAGTGGCAACAATCGTAGCATTTCTTATTGATATAATTATTGATTTCGGTTTCCACCATTTCTATTATAATATATATAGTTTGTATTTCTTTAAATACTTTTTTAAAAGAAATAAAATTAAATATTGAAATATAATTATAACATATAACATTTTACATGTTATTATTTTAGTATGATTATAATTTAAGTTCAGGATAATAAGTTAATTGATGATTATTAAATTGTGTATATATCTTACGTTTGTCATGCATCAGTTCAAAAATAATATTGATATCTCTCACGGTATTTTTCACATTAAACTTTTTGCTTTCAATTTCTGATTTAATGTCTTCTTTTACATCACACCCTTCTCTTCTACGATGTAACAATATCCATAAAATGTGGTTAATCAGTTCATACTTTTTCTTACTGATTTTGAGAAATATTCTAACATAACTATAAGGTGGTCTTTGATACACAGTTAAAAATATTATAATGTCGTCTTCAACATTTCTATTATGTCCTCTTTTCAGATTTAACTGACATCTGATTAATTCTTGATTATCTCTCCATTCCTGACAATTTTTACATTCATCTTCTTTGCCCAAAGCATAACCAATAATATTATTGATTATTCCATTAGGTAAATTCAATTTATATAATTCCATGGTTTCTTTTTTTAAGTGGCAACAATCATAGCATTTTTTATTGATATAATTATTGATTTCGGTTTCCACCATTTCTATTATAATATATATAGGTTTTATGTCTTTAAATACTTTTTTACAAGAAATAAATTTATACCTTTAATAACTCATGTCTCAAAAATGCCCTGTCATAATTTTCAATATAATAATATTCCTGTCCTAACTTCTTTTCAATCTTTGCTATTTTGTAGGTTTGTTTAGTCCATACTCCTACTCTCTCCTTTTCATTTGGTCTCCTTTTCCTGAATATCTTAACTTCATTTCCTACATTTAAGTCTGGATAAACTCTATTTCTTTTGGCTTTCATACCTAAATTTAAACTCACTTCTAATTGGTGTTTAGGCTTTCTTGCTTCTGACGGTGTTAAGCCGTGCGAAGTGTGCTTTATTCCATTGTTATAGGTTAATATAATCTCGTGTATGTAGTCTGTCCATTGAATAGCCTTTCCTTTCTTTTCATCGTTTTCAACCCTCTTATACAAGCTATCTTTAAACGTCCTTATCGCCCTCTCCGCAAATGCTGGGTGTCCTCTGGTTCTGTGCAACTTTATTTTTTCACCCTTCAAGAAATCTATAACACTTTGATTGTTATAAGCTCCTTCATCGTCAATATAAATTAGTTTGGGCTTTCCACCCATTTTTTTAATACATTCCATCAGTCCTGCTAAAATGTCCGCTGGCTGTTTTGACATAAGTGGGACAACAACCATATACTTAGAAAATATGTCAATACACATCATGCCAACTTTCATTTTTTGTTTAGGGATATCATTAATGAAAAATAAATCAATTTGAAACTCATAATATGCGTTAGGAGCTACAAATGAATTCTGCCCTCTCGGTTTCGCTTTCTGTTCTACATTCTTCCTAAAAAACTCATTAATATCGTTTATAGTTATTGTGTTATCCTTTTTTCTTGCTTCTTGTAAAGTGCGGTTCTTTGACCCGAAGCCTCCTTTATCATAATAAACATTATTAATAATATCTTCTTTACTATTGCTCATTATACTAAAGAAGATATTTTAATTTTCCTCTGGTTCTTGTTCTGGTTGCTCTTGTTGTTGTAGCCATTCTTGGTGTTTCTTGGTTTTTTCATGTCGTGCTTTCTCTGTTTTTTGAACAGTTGAACCACAACCGCAGTTAAAAGGAATTGTCTCCTTCTCCCTCAATATTTCCTTGTTTCTCTCTCTGTATAATCTATTAGTGTCTCTTTTGTTTTCTTTGTGTGTGTCTCGCCATTGTTTGCTTTTCTCCTTCATATGTTCTATATTGTTTTCTCTGTATTCTTTTCTATACTCTTGTAAATGTTCTTTGTTATGTTCACTCCATTCTTTATAATATTCATTCAGTCGTTCTTTGTTTTTCTCTCTGTATTCCTTATGCCATTCACTCCTTGGTCGTCCTGCCACATTCGTATTTACACATTCCATGTTTTGAATATAAACCCCCTCTCGTGCTTCCAGTTCCTTTTTACTATTGCATGGATAATCCTCAATCCAATAGATTTTACAATTATCAGCACCGAATTCATTGAATAGTTTGAAGCATGAGCTGTCTTTTTTCTTTCCATATTTTTGTTTGTAGTTATAACTTGCTTTGTGTCGCGCAAGTCTTCTGCTTAAACCTTCGGTAGTGCTTCCTACATAGCACATACTGAAATCAGGACTGACTATCTTATAAATTTGTCCTTTTTTATACTTATTTTCACCCATAATAACTATATTTATCTTAAGTTATCATTTCTTTAGACCAATTTATTTAGCACTACAATTGCAATATCTGCACCACGCTTCGCAGTTGTCTTTTTCATGTGCATACAGATTGCATTTGCGTTGGGCTGTCATATTGCTATTTATTACTCCATTATTTATTTCTATTTCAAACTCTGAACTGCATTTATTACATCTGGTATTAAGCCTGTCAAATAACCATTTGACATCAATATATTTGTTGTTGTCTATCTCTCTCTCTGCTTTCATGTCTTGTAATTTATATTGTTTAATCTTATGTTCTAAATATCTGGTTACTTGTGCTTCATTTAAATCAGTATCATCTATGTCTGCTTTGAAAAACTTGACTTTATTGATATCCCTGCACCTTGTAATCGCTGTCCAAATCCACTCACGGCTGACCAAATGTGATTTATCCCATTCGTGTATAGTAATGCTTTTATCTACAGACGCCCCTTGAGACGAATGACATGTAGCACAATACGCATGTATAAAGTGCTTGTCTAAAGTCGTGGTGTTTGTCATGAATATAGTTTTACTTTTGATATCTTGGATTTCTACTTTCCAATCATCAATACTAATAATTTCATAAGTAATATTTACATTAAACACCTGCCCCATTTCCTTTTATAAACTCTGCATATCACATGCTCTCCAATTTCATATTTATCTGTCTTTCCTAAATTATGTCTTACGGTCTTGCTTACCCATTTGCACCTAGCATTAGTATAGGCTATGTTATGCTC